GGATGAGGTTCAAACATCCACATGACTATCACTCACCTGTGGGAGAACAAGTGAACTAATAGTTTCATATCCAAATGAATTTGTCAGGATTTTTCCAGTTTGAATCGACAAAGGAGCAAACCAACCAACCAACCTTAAGCTGGTGGGTGCAGAGTGGAATGGGTGGTGAATGTAAACCAAGACTACAGGAGTAGATCCTAATGTCATGGTCAAATGGCTTCAGGGCTTCAGCCCATGTTGTAAGAATTAGTCTCCATCTCTGTGCTGCTTTCCTCTGGGAGGTTCACTCTCAGACAGGTTCTTCCTTCATGGAAATAAGATGCCTATTCCAGTCTTCCAGCCTGTCCTCTGGAAACCCCAGTGGGAAGTGCTGCTTTCCCCAGCAGTCCCAGCAAAAACCCTGAGGTTGGGGTCCATCAGACTAATTGGGTTCATATGCTGATCCCCAACACCTGTTATTGTGTCCAGGCTTGGGGTTTGGTGTGTGGGCTGTGGGGTGAAGCACATGGATGAGATGGGGATGGGAGGGTTACCAAGGAAAATACAGGTTCTGTTACCAGAAGAAAGGGGAATGGATGCTGGACAAGCAAAAGCACAAACGTCCACTAAATCAAAGGGAAAATTCAACAGAGCTCACGAAAGACTGAAATTCAGTCTGTAATGCCTGAGACATTTTGTCCTGTCTCTAGCATACAGCCTTCCCCCGCAAATGTACACAAACACACACTGTCACAACCTTGCTGCCTCCTCCTCGTCAGGTACCACCTGAAGCAGGAAATTGCAGCCAAGCCTCTTGTCACTGCTATTACATGATATCATGAATGGGGAAAATAGAAAGGAGCCTTTCACACAGTAGACTAGACAACTTTTACTCCCATTTCCTGATCCATTTCCTATTAACAAGATTTTAATTTCAGGGGCGCCGATGTGTGTTGAAAGACTGCTGCAAAATTCTTGACAACACGGTATTACCTCCAGAAACTGTGGTCCCACCATTCACTGTCTTCTCAGGCTGCCCAGGTAACCTTGCGTGTTGATTTATTTTAACTTCCTAAAACTCAATTATATTTTCCATCACAAGAGTAATGCATACAATTCCTATCTCTGGCAATATGTTGATAGAGCTAACTTAGAAATTCACCTGTACGAAGTACCTGGAAATGCTACCTAACATTTAAACTGTTTAAATGCATAATTAGGTTCACCAGCAAATAAGGAAATTATGAAGGGCCAAACACAAAGAGGAAACTAAGCCCAGGCTGTGAGATTGCACGGGTTAATGCTGTCTTCATCATAGAATGGTTTTAGGGGTGATACTCATGTCAGGACGGAAATAAAGCTTTGGATCCACACATGACAGAGAGATCCTCAGATAACTCTTTAAAGGATTCCCTCTCAAGGAAAAGTCGATGTAAAACAAATCTGCTGCCAACACAGGGAATGTACAGGAAAGCATTTCTTGCCTGGCCTAGGCTCTGGGTAGAAAAAGTCTGTCTAGAGAATTTTAATGCTGGGCTTACCCTCACATTGGTCATGAGTTTAATTTATACATTCCACATGGCCCAGGAATTCCCAGACTGAAAAGTTAGTATAAAGCATGGTCTAAGACCAGCAATACCTTGAGGATACCTTAGAGGGGCAAATATTAATACATTATCTCCAGACCTTGGCTGATAGAATACTCACAAGTAAAGCCCATCAGGAGCCTGGAGTTCCAAATTATAAAACGTGAGGAAACAAAAGTGATACATACTTCTCTCAGAAAACTTGGAAAACACTGAAAAGCAGAAGGAAGAAGAAAACCTCACATTGCCTTAGCCCTACCCCAAGACAGTATCTTCTTCTCCATGTTGTTTTACACAGCTGAAATCATGTAGCATATACAGAAGCATGTCATAAATTCACAGATGGAAAATGATATGAACAGAGAGATTTGACAGTATATGATACCTACCACTGGGTGGTTTAATTGTTTTTCCAATTAAAAAATAAATCTCATCTCTCAGATCATTGAATCTGAGTTTCTAAGATGAACAGAATCATCATTCAGATTCTTTGGGGAGGCATTTGGCCATTCTACCGTGTCATGCATCTCTGCTTTTGCAGAGGAGGAAGGAAAGACTTTTGTTTAGTAATTTCTCCGTATTGGGGTCCTGCTGTGAAAAAGTTTAGCTGTTCTTAGCAAGCGCTGGATCAGAACAGCCCCAGCAATTGTTTAAGTGATTGTCAGACATGCATCTGATTGAAGTGAGAGGGATATTGCCAGAGAAATATCTTAATCTCTTGTAACTTCTTTAAGCTTGTTAGAGCTGGGTCTTTCTTTCCCCAGGACTCTTCTCAGGGGAGCTCCCGGAGTGCACTCAGGAGCTGATGATTGACGTCACCAAGAGCTACTACCAGAAGTTTTTGCCGCTGACACAAGTCTAGCATCTCTGCCTCATGTCTTGAATCTGCTTGAGCTCTAAGATGAACCTGAGGACAAAGTGAGCCAGTCAGCACCTAGAAAAAACTCTCTTGTGTTTGACATCTACCACCCTCCTCCTTTTAAAAAATTTCTTTAGAATTTCTCAATCCTCAAGGCTCTAACCTCTTAAGAATTTACTAACAGACAGACTATCTGGAGGAGTTGTCTTCAAATGCTGTGCTTACACCTTATCTGTGAACAGTCACTTTGTACCATTATCTGTGGAACACAGAATCATCTGTTCCCAACGCTCCAGCCCCTTGGTCCTGTGGATGGCTGGATCCTGCCTGAAACGGATCTGCAGAGCAGCAGCATCCTTCCGGTGTGGAGGCTGTGTAGCTGGTGTGCTGCTCATGGCCATACACTACCCATGCTGAGAGCCTCTCACACAGGTAATGCCCAGCTTTTCTGCTGCTAACACATTTGGCCAGTTGTTGGCAATTGTTCATAATCCTGGGAAAGGTGTTTGTGACTTTTCAGAGCCCAGATTCCTGTTGGCTCTTAAAACTTGAGGGTAGGGGTGATTAGTGTTTCTCTCTTTCCTTCCCAGAATGACCTTAGCTGTCCTAGGGTAGTTAGTAAAAGACTTTTTAGCATTTTGACCTGGGGCCTTTGGCTTTTACTAAAAGTGGGGACCTCAGCATCCCAGATTGTAATTTTGCCAAGTGTTAGATTTGAGTCTCTCATGTGAATGCATTAGTCAGGCAGTTACTCCTTGCCTCAAGGTACTTACCTTATTTCATTGAAGACACCGCATTTGTGAACTCTTGCTCCCTGGCCTAGAACCATTCAACCTACCCTGTATTTGCCATAAACTCCACAATTCACACCAAAATGTCTGTACTCAGAGTCCATTTGCATATATACATGAAGGGCTCGTAAAATCAGTTTGTGGGCACAGAGCCCAGGAGTAAATGAAGTTGCTAGGGCTGTTCTTACCATCTCCTTCTGACCAGATAGCACAATCTTTCCTGGTTCTGCTCTGACCTCTTAGCTTAGAAAGAAGATTTAGAAGTTAGAGGCTAAGCAGGTTGTCTTTGCTTAATGCTCTGATCCGCAAGTGAATAGGGCAGAAGAGTTCAGTCTTGAAGGTTAGAATTTAGCAAGAGCTATCCTGACCTAATATCCAATTGTGGGGGTTGCAAAACAGAATAGCTGTATGTAATCATTGCCACTAGTTCCATCTAGAATTCCTTTCTAGTTTGTCATTTTTTAAATGTTTATACATTAAAACCACCAAAATAAATAGCTTCTCCATGCATTTAGGGCCATGACAGCTGACAGCTCCAGACCTACATCCTCCCAGCTTGGGGGCTCTGAATGAAAGGTTTCTTCCCTTCCAGTTCTAATTTGAAAATTCCCAAAGTTCTCAATAGTTTGTTGTGAGTTCCATGTCCTCTTGGGTCAGTCACTATGGCCATGCGTGTTTGGCCACATGATTAATCCAGTCTGGGTCATGACCTTTTCTTCATCCAAAACAAAATGGTGGGAAGACGAAAACAATAGCTACTACAAACAATAGGAGTTTATAATTATGTGCTGATGTTTTCGAAGATGTGTTGACAGTAGTGAGTGTGTATCCTAGGAAAGGCGAGCTGGACTCTGTCTCCATGGTGGCTCTCACCCCAGGGACCTAGGAACAGCCTGTCACCACATAATTACTTTTATAACCCTAGAGAAGAAAATCTCCTTATCCTCAGAATACTTCCAGAACAGCCAGATGGGAAGGACCTTGGTTGGGACTTTTTCCAGTTCACTTGGGGCAGAAAGAATTTATGGCTCATATAGCTGAAAAGGATGGGCTAGATTGGGCTTCAGGCTGCATCCCAGGACTCCAAACTGGGATCTGTCTCTTTGGCTCTCAGCTCTGCTTTCATTTGAGTTGGCTTTATTCTCGGGCTTCACAGTGTGGCCGGCCCCACAGCACCAGTTTTTGATAAAAAGAGCTCCCCTTTGCTGACAGAACTGCTGGATTTGGTTCTCATTGGTCCAGACGAGGAAGGTATCCAGCCTCAAGTCATCATTGTAGCCAGGAAGATGGAATACACCAAATGGACAGGCCTGGCATGTACCCACAGAGACTGAAAGTTGGTGCTGGTGGTTGTGGCAGACGATATTACCTGAAGAAGGGACGAATGGGTACTGGGCAGGAAAAAGCATCAGCTGTCCAGTTCAGGCCTCTCTTCTTTCCCTGGTGTCTTCATTTTCCTCCCTCTCCCTGCTGTCCCTTAACCCTCTGCCCAGTCTCTCATTACTCCTGGTCTTGGGAGGTACCTTCTGAGGATACTCCACTGGGGGTACCTGAGCCTGGATTAGAGGGCAGGGGGAGAATACTGCCTAGCCAAAGTGGGTGTTCAATAAAGAACCATTTGGAGATGGTCTTCTGTCTGGAACTGCTTCCTTTTTATTTTATTTTTTTCCTCCAGATGAGCTGACTGGGCCATGGAACTGCTTCCTTATGATGCCCATAGCACCTTACCGAGGGGCCCTTATCAATAGAGTTTTAGTTATGTACCTGTGTTCTTGTCTGAACCCCCACTAGCTGTGAGCTCCTGAGGAGTCAGGCCTGAGTCTGTGGGTCATCTGGCACATCCTTAATAGAATGATTGCCTGGATGCGACCACCCTCACACCCCACCCTCACATACCCCACCAGCATGCCTCAGACCTTACTCCAGCTCCAGATAAGTCTCAGATTGCAGGACCCCTGGTGCAGGGAACAAAGGTGAATGATTGTCCTGTGAGCCTCCTGTTGACTGATTCTGTTTTACATGGCTGCACAGAACCCTGTGGTTGTTTGGGGTTGGTGGTGGCTTCTGTATTAGTCACTTCTGCATGAACGAGTTCACTCAGGATCTGAGGCCACAGTTCCTTTCTTAGTCACTCACCCATCTGGCATACTTGAAATTAATCAGACAAACATTGTTCCTAGTTAACATATCCTTGGAAGTTTCTCAGCTATAAGGAAGAGGTCTTGGTGGCTAGGGGACCTTTCTCCGTATCCTGTTCTATCCAGTGAGAGCCTAGAGGGTGCTGCCCAGCCACATTCTGGCTAGCCTCAGCTATTCTCCTGAAAAAAATTGGCATCTGACAACCTGGATGGTGACTATAGGTAGTCAAATCCAGCTGACTGGTCTCCTAGGATCTTCTATGGAGCTGCAAGGCCCCTGAAATGATACTGGCAGTGTTGGGACAGCATGTCCAAAGACCTGTTTTTTTCAGAACCGGTCTCAGCAAAATGTCTTGCCAGCTTCTACAGTTCCCCTAAGTACATGATAACTGAAACCCTTCTAGAGCCCCCCAGCAATGGGCTTGTGCTTTTAGTAGAATATGTGCTTGCTGGCATTTAGGGGTAAGAAGGTAGGCCCCTCACCATTTCCTGTACAGAGAAAAGAGACACCATCACTCATTTATTCATTTAACAAATGCTCTCCAAGCCACTACTAGGTGCCAAGCACTGCCTAGGTCCTGGGGATACAGTGGAGACTGAGATGGAGCCAGTTCTTGCCCATAGGGATCTCACAGCTTAGTGAGGGAGAAAGCCAAAGAATCAAAATACAGAGAGGGTCTGAGGGGTCCATTTTGAGAGCCATCATAGTGGTGAGGAGCATGAGTGCTAGAGTTGGGCTGATCAAATCCCAGCCTGCCATTGGCTAGCCTTGTGACTTTGAGCAAGTTATCTTACTTCGTGGAACCTCAGGTTTCTCTTCCGTAAAACGGGGAAGTTGGATAGGGTTATTATAAGGATTGAAATGCATTTATACTTGTAAAGCATAAGTACTGGCTCAGGGTCAGCACTCAATAAATGGTAGTTATACCTACTTTTATTAGGAAGTGATAAACCTTGAGCAAAACCCCTTAGAGTATAAGGCATAATATTCTTACATATTTTTAAAATTTAAAAGTAAAAACATCTTGATCTTTATAATCAGTCCACCACAAAGAAGAGATGGAGAAATCACCCTTCCTTGTTTTGTTATCTATGGGGTGCAAACATTTAATCCTCCCAACTGTCAAAAAAGTAGGGATTTTCACAGCCTGTTTTACAGCAGAGGAAACTGCTATTCAGAGAGGTTAAGTAAATTTGCCCAGTGTTATACATCTAATAAATGGCTGAGCTGGAATCAAGGCCAGTTCTTATTTGGCTGCAAAATTCATGTTTTATGCAGCTCCTCCAGTATCTTGGCCTCCAAGGTAGCTGGCTCTGAACGCTACCCTTGCAGCCCAGTCAGCCAACCCTTTGCTCTCCTGAAGCTTTTGCTGGCGGGCCAGCCCCACCTGCTTTCCTTGTGCACTCTGACTTGGACCCTGAAGTGAGAAGAGTTGGCACAGGACATCTTACTTCCCTGAAAGCAGTACCTGGACTTTTCTGTATCTTCACAACCACTGGGCATTGGGCAAATGGGTCATGCAGATGAAAATCATCCAAGAAAAGAGACACGGGAGTGAAATTCACACCCGCTCTGGCTTTCAGACCGTGGGTCTGAACATTAGCCCATGGTGTTTCTTGGCTGTACTGACCTGTGCCATTTCAGCTGCATTCTTCTCAGTTGGTGTTGTCTGCTGGCTGCTCTTTCTGATTTCCCACAGGAGCAGTAAGAGCCTGAGGAAGAGTAGGGTCAGAGGAGTCTGGGAGAATGAGGAAATATGAGAGCCCCAGGAACTGAAAAGGCCTGTGAGAGACTCTGAGCTTCCTGGGAACAGGTACAGGTTCTTTTTATTTCAATAATAACAGAAACAAGTGTCAAAACCATGTGCCTGTACTATTTGGAGTGCTGTCCTTGCAGAATGTACTTACAAGAACCTTAGGAAATAGGCACATCATCTCCTGGATAGAATCCTAGGAAATGGGCACTATAATGGGCACTTTATCCCCATTTTATAAACATGGAAATTGAGGCACAGAGAGATTAAATACTTTCCCAAGGTCATACAGCTAGTGAGAGAGGAGCTGGCATTTGAACCCGGAGATTTCAGTCTGTGAGTTTAACCGATAGATCATACTGTGTTTTGGTAAGGAGGGAGGAAGCAAGCAAGTGAACAAATGAGTCTGGGGTTTAGGACTTGCCAGATAAACAAGGCCCAAGAGGCAGTGTGCAGGTGGATGTTCTTGGGAGTCAGCAGAGCTGGGTTGGAATTCAGGCTTTGCCGTCTGCTGGCCATAAACCTTGGGTGAATAACCCAAGGTAAATGAGATCATCTCTAAAACTTTTAGCCCTGTGTGTGGCGCATAGTAAATGCTCAATAAGGGTTCACTGTTAGTATTATTGTTACTGGTAACATACAAATAGATTGTATTAATGGACCATAATTGCAACTGTATAAAACAAATTCCATGTTGACAAGGATTAGAAGGGAATATGAGAATGTGGAAACAGCTATGAAAAGACATAAGAGAATTAGGAGCATTTTCTTTAATACATCCTCATTTTTTTTTTTTTTAAACTTTCTTGTATTTGTTCATTTTTTAAGTCTTACCATGTTGCCCAGACTAGTCTTGAACTCCTGGGCTCAAGCGATCTTGGCCTCCCAAAGTGCTGGGATTACAGTCATAAGCCACTGTGCCTGGCCATTTTTTAGTAAACATTTCTAATGGAACGAGTAAAACATACATGCAGTGGGTGCTTAGCAGGCCTTGAGTGTATGAATGAAAAATATTTAAACTTGTTTTTACTGGTTGATTTCATTGCTTAAAAAACATACCTTAGCCGGACACAGTGGCATGCGCCTGTAGTCCCAGCTACTCATCTCTTAAAAACAAAGTTTTATGCTTGTTAATTTCATAAATGTTAGAGGAATCACCCCAATCAAATAAAGCTTCTCAAAAATAAAATACGAAAGGTGTTAGTGGGATTCAGCTTTCTAGTTTTTTGCCCCTAGTGGATGGGTTGGAATTTAAATTCTTCGGATATTGGAACCAGAACAGGCCTGTAACTGATGATTTTTGCTGTGATTCATGCCAGTTGGAGCCTCTGGAAAGAAGGAGACAACATGTAAAGAGAAGCAATCTGTTTGGAAAATGAAAATACAGTTAAATTGCTAATGAGCCCTTGTCAAAATCAAATGTCTACCCTTAGAGGCTGATAATTGTCTAGTCTAATATGCATTGTTTTTTTTGAGTGGGTTAATTGGATTCTAAGACCAACAAGATAAAAAGGCAGCCTTGCATGTCACTTGAACCACAGCTGTCTGGCCACGCAGCATGCCTTCACTGCTGCTGAAGAAAAGCAGCTGGCTTGTTCAGAATCTCAAATTCCCAGATCCTAATTGCCTGGCCCTGACTCTAAGCTGAAACCTGCTACTGTGTGCCATGAGCCTCAACGCGGGCTATGCTGAACTGAAAGCAGACACAGGCTCAATGACCAGGACTTAGACGTTGGGGCCGTTGGAGATTAAGGACCCCCTCCGTGGAGTGCTAAACTATGAAAACATCCTGGAACCTGGCTGAAAAGGGCTTATTCTTTAATGGAATCCATCTAAGATCAAGTTGCTGATAGGCTGTTTGTCTCTAATACAGAGGCTAATTGCATTCCTAACTTCTAATATTTGCCAAAAGCTGCAAGATGGGGAAGAGCACATCACAAGGACTGTGACCCTTCCTCCTGCTTTTGACAGACCAGACTCGAACCTTCTCTGGGGTTTCTCTCACTGCTGTTGACTTGTTGCATTCAGCTTTTGGGATTAGTTGCAGCTTGCAACAGTGGACTGACAGCCTGACTCTACTTCCCTCACTTTTCTCCCAGCACACACAGCTTAGTAAGGTAGGTGGATTATTGAAATGTAGCTGTCCCCAGAAAGGTATTAGGCTTTTTTTAGGCTGCTCATTGAATAATCAGGACAAAAGGGGTGGAAGATTATGTAAACACATTTTGAAATTTAAAAAAATTCAGAGTTTCATCCTTTATTCATTTGCTAAGGATACCATAACAAAGTACCACAAACCGAGTGGCTTACACAATAGAAACTTATTTTCCCGCAGTTCTGGAGGCTGAAAGTCCAGGACAAGGTGTCGACAGGTTTGGATTCTTCTGAGGACTCTCTGCTTGGCTTGCAGATGGCTGCCTTCTTAGTGTGTTCTCGTATGGTCCCTCTGTCTATGTGTCTGTGTCCTAATAGTCTCTTTTAATAAAGATACCAGTCAGGTTGGATTAGGGCCCATCCTAACAATCCCATTTTAACTTAGTTACTTCTTCAGGGCCTATCTCCAAATATACTCACATTTTGAGGTACAGGTGATTAGGGCTTCAGCATGAATTTTTGTGGGGACACAGTTCAACCCTCCACACATCATTACCAATTCCTGAATGTGTCTTTCTGGTTAAGTTGCACAAAAACATTTATCTACTTGAACTCTAGGATGATGATTAAAAAAAAAAAAGTTGGCCAGGCACAGTGATGGACACATGATCCCAGCACTTCAGGAGGCCGAGGTGGGCAGATTGCTTGAGCTCAGGAGTTCAAGACCAGTCTGGGCAACATGGCGAAACCCTATGTCTACAAAAAATGCAAAAATTAGCTGGGCATGATGGCATGTACCTGTAGTGCCAGCTACTTAGGAGGCTGAGGGTAGGAGGATGGCTTGAGCCCAGGAGACGGAGATTTGCAGTGAGCCAAAATCGTGCCACTGCACTCCAGCCTGGGCAACAGAGCCAGACCCTATCTCAAAAATAAATAAATAAATAAATAAACAAAAAAGTTTATCTACAAAAATGCTTTTGTGCCTCTTACATACAAACCCTCCAGAGGAAAGGCCTGGCTGAGAGAAAGAGATGGTTGAAAAAATGCAATGTTATGATTGCTGAACAGGGCACGACTGTTTTTGTAACATTAGAGAAAATAATTAAAGCCTGGCACCTGGGGAGGCTTGATCCCTAGAAGCCTCCTCTTGCTGAAGGAAAATTCCCAGTGCTTGCTGCCTTTCCATGTGCTGTGAGTGCTTTGAGTTCAGACTGACAACAGAGTGGGTCCAGCTCCCATGTTTTCCGTGAAGATCTCCCACAAATGTCATCCATGCTCATGAGATGAATCAACTTGTATCCTGAACAAGCAAAACTGTTTGGGACTCACTGCCTTCAGGCAGTCACTTGGAAGCCAAGAACTCCAGGAACTTTTCAGATGGAACTGGAAACACTAGGGCAGGAGACCTCCCCTGGTGGGAGGTCTGTTTACCTGTACGGCTTGACTAATGGATGTCCTGCTTGAGGTGCCCTAATATTGCAAATTCTTTGTTTCCAGGGGTACCACCTGTGCCCCTGGGACTATGCTTCTGTACATGACCATGACTCTCATGATATCCCCTCAGCCCTGGAAAGCATTTGCGTTAGCTTCCATTTACTGAGCAGAGTTGTACTGTGCCTGAATTGATGCCTCAGGTCAGGTTAAAAAAAAAAAAAAAGAGTTTCAGACAGCAGTTAAGGGCCGGGCACAGTGGTTCATGCCTGTAATCCCAGCACTTGGGGAATCTGAGGCAGGCAGATCACCTGAGGTTAGGAGTTTGAGACCAGCCTGACCAACATGGTGAAACCCCGTCTCTAGTAAAAATACAAAAATAAAAAAATTAGCTGGGTGTGGTGGTGTGCACCTGTAGTCCCAGCTACTTGGGAGGCTGAAGCAGGAGAATCGCTTTAACCCAGGAGGTGGAGGTTACAGTAAGCCAGGATCACGCCACTGCACTCCAACCTGGGTGACAGCAAGATTCCATCTCAAAAAAAAGGAATTAAGGAGGAAGCCACCTGGATTTCTAAGATAGACTTTATGGTTAATGGGATTTATTTTAGCTGGTTAAATCCAGGACCCTACCAGGAGGAACTGAGGTCCATACTTCAGATTGGTCTCACCCTTTTGCATGGGGTCCTACTGATAATAATTTTGCTGTAAAGAATCCTCAATAAGGAGATGGACTGTGTGAAAAGAGATGAGAAAGCAGGCCTGTTTGCAAGGCTGGCCCTTGGCTGGCATCTGAAAGCTTGGATTTCAGGAGGGTTCTCATTAATCCCTAAATGATAAGAGTGGTTCACTGTGCCTAAACTGTTTGTACAATGTGGATTATGCCCGACATCTGCCTTCCTTCTGCGAGTCTTGGATTTTCATATGTGTTAGGCAGAGGATGAAGTGACCAGCTCCCAATCAGAGCCCTGAACACTGAGTCTGTAATGAGCTTCCCTTGTACACAACAGTGTGTATGGGTTGTCACAGCTGATTGCTGGAGGAATTGTGTCTTGTGTGACTCTGCTGGGAGAGGACCGTGGGAGGCTTGCACCTGGTTTCCCTGAACTTTGCCCATGCACTTTTTTCCTTTGCTGATTTTGCTTCCTAGCCTTTTGCTGTAGTAAATCATAGCCATAAGTATGATTACAGGCTGAGTCTGTGAATCTCCTAGTACATCATCAGACTAGGAGGTGGTGGTGGCACCCCTGGCACAGGGCACAAGGGAGACTTGCGGGGTGTTTGTCATGTTCTCTTTCTCAATCTGGGTGTGGTTTACAGATGTGTTCAGTTTGTGAAAATTCACTGAGCTCTGTGTACAATTATGATATGTACATTTTTTTCTGTAAGTATATTAAATTCCAATAAAAAGAATTATTCACACCATAGGGGTACTAAACAACTTAATTTTTCAAAGTCTTCCTTTTATTCAGCCAACATTTTAGTAAGTACCCTTTTTTTTTTTTTTTTACCAAGCACTGCTCTGGGAGCTTGGGACATGGGGTGGAAAGGACAGCATCATTGCCTTCATTGCCTTCATTGCCCTTCCCTTTAGCTGCAAGGCAGGTGAAGGATACTTATAGTATGGTTGATTTTTGCTGGGCTCTATGAAGGATCAGAGGGTGCTAAGGAGGCACAGAGAAAGAGCTTCTAACTTAGGTATTTTGCTGTTCCAGGGTTGCCACTCAAGTACCTATAGAACAAAGGGGTGTAGCCGGGCGCAGTGGCTCACGCCTGTAATCCCAGCACTTTGGGAGGCCGAGGCGGGCGGATCACAAGGTCAGGAGATCGAGACCACGGTGAAACCCCGTCTCTACTAAAAATACAAAAAATTAGCCGGGCGCGGTTGTGGGCGCCTGTAGTCCCAGCTACTCGGGAGGCTGAGGCAGGAGAATGGCGTGAACCCGGGAGGCGGAGCTTGCAGTGAGCCGAGATCGCGCCACTGCACTCCAGCCTGGGCGACAGAGCGAGACTCCGTCTCAAAAAAAAAAAAAAAAAAAAAAAAGAACAAAGGGGTGTAAATGGGAACTGTGGCAAACTGAAAGCATGTAGGCACAGAGTTAAGTAGCTAGAGCTGATTTTTTTCAGGAAAGGCCACAAATCCAAATTTTTATGACCTCCTCTTTTAAATGCTGTAAATGTTTTACAATGGCCGGGCATGGCTGCTTATGCCTGTAATCCCAGCACTTTGGGAGGCCGAGGTGGGCAGATCACTTGAGGTCAGGAGTTCAAGACCCGCCTGGCCAACATGGTGAAACCTCTTCTCTACTAAAATTACAAAAATTAGCCGGGCATGGTGGTGCACGCTTGTAATTCCAGCTACTTGAGAGGCTGAGGCGGGAGGACTGCTTGAACGCAGGAAGCAGAGGTTGCAGTGTCAGAGCAAGACTCCGACACACACACACGGTGGTGCACGCTTGTAATTCCAGATACTTGAGAGGCTGAGGCGGGAGGACTGCTTGAACGCAGGAAGCAGAGGTTGCAGTGTCAGAGCAAGACTCCGACACACACACACACACACACACACACACACACACACGTGGGAGGCCAAACAAAACACACACACACACACACACACACACACACACACACACACACACACACACACGTGGGAGGCCAAACAAAACCCTGCAAGACACATTTGGCTATGACCTGCCAGTTTGCTAGGCATTCTTCCAACCTTCCGTCCCTCTGACCAAGAAACTGAGTGTCCACTATTTTAGGCCCTGGGAAATTCAGTAGCGAGCAGGCCAGACAGCTTCCTTGCATCATGGAGGACTCTGGTACTGTGCTTCTCCAACTTCAGGATGTGTAGGAATCACCTGAGCAGTCTTGTTGAGAGGCGGACACTGACTCGGGAGGTCTGGAGTAGGGCCTGAATGTTTGCCTTTGCGGTTCTAACAAGCTCTCAGGTGATGGCGATGCTGCTGTTCCATGGCCCCTTCTTTAAGCAGCGTTGCTTTGTAATCCGGAGGAGCTCAGAAGCGGCAGTTATTTGAAGGAGCAGACTAGCCATGAAGGTATGTTTGGCAAGCACACTTTTACTTAGATTTTAGTTCCGTTCGGGTGGCTTGGCTGAGAGCTGACGGCATCGGGAGGCGGATGCTAAGGCTTTCTTAAACGACCTGCTGGCATGCCAGTTCCCTACTCTTAGATTGCTTATATTCTAGGTGGGGTGGAGGTGGAGGAAGATTTAAGGAAAAGCTTCCTGGAGGAGGCGCAAGCGAACTGCAGGAGCTTTCCCGGACGCCCGAGAAAGGGAGAAACCCCGAAGGAATTCCTCCCCTCTCGGGGCTGGGTCTCCGCATCCACGCCGGATTTGGTTTCCCAGGCTATCCCACGTGTTCGGGCGTCCCTGTCAATCAAGTTTTTCCCCGGCTGGGTCCGGGTTTAAAGGCAGCTGCTGCGCAGGGCGCTCCCATGGTGCCGCGCGGCGGGCGGGTTTGGATTTTAAATCCCCGCGGCCAATCAGTGGCGCGCAGGCTTTTGTAACGTTCCCAGCGCCGCGTTTGAATTCGGGGAGGAGCTGAGCGGTGCGGAGCGTCTGCTTGGATCCAGGTCAGCAGAGCAGCTCCAGGAGCATGAGTGCGGCGGTGACTGCAGGGAAGCTGGCACGGGCACCGGCCGACCCTGGGAAAGCCGGGGTCCCCGGAGTTGCAGCTCCTGGAGCTCCGGCGGCGGCTCCACCGGCGAAAGAGATCCCGGAGGTCCTAGTGGACCCACGCAGCCGGCGGCGCTATGTGCGGGGCCGCTTTTTGGGCAAGGGTGGCTTTGCCAAGTGCTTCGAGATCTCGGACGCGGACACCAAGGAGGTGTTCGCGGGCAAGATTGTGCCTAAGTCTCTGCTGCTTAAGCCGCACCAGAGGGAGAAGATGTCCATGGAAATATCCATTCACCGCAGCCTCGCCCACCAGCACGTCGTAGGATTCCACGGCTTTTTCGAGGACAACGACTTCGTGTTCGTGGTGTTGGAGCTCTGCCGCCGGAGGGTGAGTGTCGCTGCTGGTTAACTGGAACTGCCTGCGGGGCAGTTGGAGCGCCCAGACCTGGAGCTGCTGGAAAGAGTGCCCAGGAAGGGAGTACCTGGGACTTGGAGCTGCTAGAGAAGGGTGCTGGGAGCCTCCCTCTTAGGTATGGAAAGTGCCTTTGGTAAGGGCTTCTTGGCTCTTGGAGCTGCTGGAGGACGGGGTTCCGGTGAAGTGGAGTCTGAGTCATGTTGCTGATAGGGAGGTCAGCTTCTGGACGCGAGGTACTTGGGGGGAGGGGTGCTGGTAATGGACGCTAGGGCCCTGGAGTGGCCAGGGAGGAGTCCCGGGTTAGTGATGCCGGGCACTGGGAGCTTCCGGAGTGTAGCTGGGTCAGTGAGGGGGTAGTTGGAGCTAGACTTCGGGCCTTCCGAGGGAGATAAGAGTCAGGAAAGGGATCTGCTGCTGGGGACTTCCGGAGTGGGGCTGAGAGAGGACCCCCAGGTAAGGGAGAAAGCTAGTAGGAGAAGGGGTGCTGTGAATGGTTGTGGACAGTGTTAAGGCAGGGTCCAGATGCCAGTTGTCCTGGAAAAGGAATGGGGTGGGGGCATAGGGAAGGAGAGAAACCCACCAAGACCCCTCTTTCATCCTTTGGGAGTCCAGAGTCCAGTCCTGTGCTTCCTTTGCCTGGTAACCCTCTCCCTTCCCCACCGGCCTCAATACCACCTCCCCATCCCTCCTGCCCTCTCCTTCCCATCCACAGTCTCTCCTGGAGCTGCACAAGAGGAGGAAAGCCCTGACTGAGCCTGAGGCCCGATACTACCTAAGGCAAATTGTGCTTGGCTGTCAGTACCTGCACCGAAACCGAGTTATTCACCGAGACCTCAAGCTGGGCAACCTTTTCCTGAATGAAGATCTGGAGGTGAAAATAGGTGAGTTGCTGAGCCTGCAGGGGTGCTTGACATCACTCCAAGAGGCTGGAATTTGGAGGAGGCTGGGAGAAAGGAAGGAGACCAGGAGGAAGGAAGAGGATGGTGGGAAGTTTGGGCTGTTGATTGCCTCTAGAATTCTCTCTTTAGTCCAGAAATTTCAAACAAAGAACCCACAAGTCAGTATCTTGCCTACAGATGCATTATTTTTTGTGCCCCAATACAGCATTTTTCTTTTTTTACAAAGAATTTGAATTTGTTTTTATTTTTTAAATTGGAAGGTTTGACATAAAAATTTTGATTTAGAGCTCCTTTTAAACAGTCATGAAAGCTCCAGTAATACGAGGACAGCATTTTCTTAGGGCAGTCCTTTGCTGGGCTGGAAAGCAGCTGTCCCCTTCAGACTTGTTTGCCACAGTCTCTACTCCTCCCTATTACTTCTTCACAGACTTGCCAAGTCTTGGAGGTTAACTTGCTTGATCCTTGAAGGCACTGGAGTTTTGCTATCCCTGCCAGTTCCCGTTTCGAAGTATAGCCCCTTTCTAAGGGGAGGGGTGAGAAGGGTCACTGGAGGCACCTCCCTGGTGTCAGCATGGCGGGAAGATTCCTGGGCAAGCCTTGCTGCGTACAAGGAGCAGAAGCTTGTGGGATCAAATGGCCCTGGTTCTTGATGGTCAAACCTTAACTAGCCTTCTGCATTGACAGATGGCAGAGGCTGGCATCTAAGTACCTGCTCTTCCTCCCTCTGTCCCAGGGGATTTTGGACTGGCAACCAAAGTCGAATATGACGGGGAGAGGAAGAAGACCCTGTGCGGGACTCCTAATTACATAGCTCCTGAGGTGCTGAGCAAGAAAGGGCACAGTTTCGAGGTGGATGTGTGGTCTATTGGGTGTATCATGTAAGTTGGGAGTTATCTCTGGATCTACCTGGTCTCAGCAGGGGCAACTTTGGGACATCCTACCTGGCTGACCTTTTCTGTGGACCTTTCGGCCTGCTTTACAGCAAACCTACTGCAGGGGACAGGTTACCCCCAAACAAAGCCTAACTGCCATATCTTTCCCTGTCACTGGTGTATCCTGTTGGATTTCTGCAGCCTAGGACATGGGGGAGGAGGAGGGGGAGGAGAAGGAGGAGGAGAAGTCGTCTCCACAACCTTACTCTAGTCCTTTGCTAGAGTGGTCCACAGGGCAGCATCACCATCATTTGGGAACCTGTATGCGGAATCTCAGGACCCAGATTACTGACTGGGTCAGAATCTGGATTTTTTAACAAGGTCCCTTGGTAGTTCCCGTGCACAATAAGGTCTTAAACATTGATGAACATTAGCATGGTGGGGGAAATTAGGCCAGGAGTTACAGATGGAAGGATGACGTGCCAGTGGTCTGTCTGGATTGAGACCATCAGCAGCGGTTGGTGGCAGGCAGAGGCTTGGGCCTTTTCAGGTATTACCTTTCTTGTTTGGGGCCTAGGTACTGGAGAGTTAGAAATGAGTTGTAGCAGTGACTTTCATACATCTTCGCAGTGGGGTTTTTCCAAATGAAAACTTGAAGACTTAAGTACAGAATTGCTAAAGGTAGAGCTGCTTCTGTAAGTGCAGGTAGCCCTTTGACCTGTTTTGCATGACAGGCAGCCTCTGAGGCCCTTGCAGAGTCCTAGATGACCACAGGCCACAACTAAAAAATCACTGGCCCCTAAGAATCCTAGTCTCACCACGTGTATTCTGGTAAGGGCTCATTCTAGCCAATATTATGGCTCCTGGGGCTGCTCAGTGGACTTGGTTGTCTTCAGGGGCCCCAGAGTTACAGTGAGTGTCCAGAGGATGCCTGGTCTTTGTTCTGACCCTGAGATGATTTCTCTTATGTCTGGGTTGTGGCTGGGAGGCTGGTGCCAAATCCTACCTTGTGCTTACAGGTATACCTTGTTAGTGGGCAAACCACCTTTTGAGACTTCTTGCCTAAAAGAGACCTACCTCCGGATCAAGAAGAATGAATACAGTATTCCCAAGGTGACTAATGATGCTTTAACTTTACATTTATTTTGTTTTCCCCAAAAGCTGTTTATGGAGCCCAGCAATATCCTAAGACCAGAAATAGGTCTATCCCACCTCTAGGATAGCCACAGAGCTTACGAGGGCCTGTGTCTGAAATTACATACAGAACTTGACATGTATGTGCACATAAGCATTTTTTCTAGGGGGAGAGAGTTGGCAGATTCTCAAGAGATTGGGTAGCCCAAAAGTTGCGTAAAAAGCAAAAAACAAAGGAGGTAGGAAGGAGTAGGAGGCTAAAGTGCTTAAGCTTTGGAAATGGATTATCTTAATTCAAATTGAGTCTGCCACTTAGCCAGATCACATTGGGCAAATGGCCTGCATCTTCTTTTTTTCTTTTTTTTCTTTTTTTTTTTTTTGAGGTGGAGTTTTACTCTTGTTCCCCAGTGCAGTGGCATGATCTCGACTCTCGACTCACTGCAACCTCCACCTCCCAGGTTCAAGCGATTCTCCTGCCTCAACCTCCCAAGTAACTGGGATTACAGGTACCCACCACCTTGCCTGGCTTTTTTTTTTTTTTTTTTTTGTATTTTTAGTAGAGATGGGGTTTCACCACGTTGGCCAGGATGGTCTCGAACTCCTGACCTCAGGTGATCCACCCGCCTCAGCCTCCCAGAGTGCTGGGATTACAGGCATGAGCCACCATGCCCAGCCTGGCCTGCATCTTCTGAACCATAGTTCTCGTCTATAAAGTGGAGTTCCTGCCTTGGAGCACCTCACAGAGTGCCTTACATGTAGTAAGTGCTCACAGAATTATGAATCACTGAATCCCAGGGCTTCCTAATGGCATAGTGGTGTGCAATTTCCTTTTTTTTTTTTTTTTTTTTTTTGAGACAGAGTCTCACTGTATCGCCCAAGCTGGAATGCAGTGATGCGATCTCGGCTCACTGCAAGTTCCCCCTCCTGGGTTCACACCATTCTCCCGCCTCAGCCTCCTGAGTAGCTGGGACTACAGGTGCCCGCCACCACACCCGGCTACTTTTTTTGTATTTTTAGTAGAAAGAGAGTTTCACTGTGTTAGCCAAGATGGTCTCAATCTCCTGACCCTGTGATCTGCCCGCCTCAGCCTCCCTAAGTGCTAGGATTACAGGCGTGAGCCACCGCACCTGGCCATGGTGTGTATTTTCACAACCACCAACAGAAATGCATTTAAAGGAATAGCTGGTTCCTGCAGAAGCCTAGCACACAGCCAGTTTGAAGTGTAGTGTCCTTGTGTGAAGCCAAGAGGCCTGTCACCATAAGGACGGACATAGTAAATCCATCACAAAGTGTCAGTTCACTGTCAGAGACAGCATGGAATCAAGCCAACTAGACAAGGCCTTCACCCTCTCTGTGCCTCACTTTCCTCCTCTGCAAAAAAGGGATGATAATAGAGCCCCACCCCTTAGATGTATTAGTGAGGGCTAAGTGAGCTAAGTACAGGAGTGCTTAGAATGCTTTCCTGGCACATAGTAAGTGCCAGGAAAGTGAGTTGGTGCTAGGCCACAGTCCATTGACCCTTCTGTCAAAGGTGCTCAGTAAAGCCGACAGTGGAGAAGTTGGCATTGAACCAAGTTGTGAACCACTAACCTGGGGTGTATTTGAGACTGGGGACTGCGTGTGGTCTATTGGCCTGCAGCCCCTTTGAGGCCGTACTGTACTCCGGGTCCCCTTCACATTCTGCTTATGGCTGTCCCTCTCTCTGCCCTAGCACATCAACCCCGTGGCCGCCTCCCTCATCCAGAAGATGCTTCAGACAGATCCCACTGCCCGCCCAACCATTAATGAGCTGCTTAACGACGAGTTCTTTACTTCTGGCTATATCCCTGCCCGTCTCCCCATCACCTGCCTGACCATTCCACCGAGGTTTTCAATTGCTCCCAGCAGCCTGGACCCCAGCAACCGGAAGCCCCTCACAGTCCTCAATAAAGGTACAACAAGGGTCTGGGTAAGAGAGCAGACTCCCCAGAGAAAGCCCAGGTTGTAGGGGTGTGTGTGGCTTAGTCCCTGGCCCCAAGAGCTCAGGTTTGGTTTAGGACAGACCTCTGTCCTTAAATTCGTGATTCCCATGCCCATCTGCTCCTCGGCCTTGCCGGGAAAGACTGACCTTACCATGGCTGGATAAACCTGCTATGCTCAAGAAGAAGAAAATGGACTGAATACCAAGCCTAAAAAATTCTTTCCAATCACTTTAATTAATTAATTTAATTTTTTGGAGACAGGGTCTCTCCTCTGTTTTCCAGGTTGGAGTGTAGAGGCACAATCACAGCTCACTGCAGCTTTCAACTCTAGGGTTCAATCAATCCTCCCATCTCAGCCTCCCAAGTAGTTGGGACTGTCAGGCATGAGCCACCATGCCTGGCTAATTTTTTTTTGTTTTTGTAGAGACAGTGTTTTGCCATGTTGCCTAGGCTGGTCTTGGAACTCCTGGGCTCAAGTGATCCTCCCACCTCCACCTCCCAAAGTGTTGGGATTACAGGCATGAGCTGCTACGCCTGGCCTTCTAACACTTTTTCATGATTCATTGAAAAACATAAAAATTTCCTTTTTTTTTTTTTTTTTTGAGACAGGTCTGGCTGTCTCCTAGGCTGGAGTGGAGTGGTGTGATCTTGGCTCACTGCAACTTCTGCCTCCCAGGCTCAAGTCATCCTCTCATCTCAGCTGAGACTACAGGCGTGTGCTGCCATGCCTGGCTAATTTTTTGTATTTTTTGTAGAGACAGATTCTCACTTTGTTGCCCAGGCTGTTCTCAAACTCCTAAGCTCAAGCAATCTGCCCGCTTTGGCCTTCCAAAGTACTGGGTTTACAAGTGTGAGCCACTGCACCCAGCCAGCATGAAAATTTTCAAGTACACATATAGAGCATAATGTAATGGATTCCCTCATACTTACCAGATTCAATAATTAGTTATCAGGATTTTGTCAAGTTTGCTTCATTCATTTATTTTTGTTTCTTTGAAGTATTTTTTAAAGTTAACCCCAGGCACTTTGCCATTTTTATACATAAACTTCAGAATACTTCTCTTAAAAAAGATGGACATTTTCTTAAAAATCAAAAAACCACATGCCATTGCTTAGGTTGTCATTGCTTCTAGGTCTCTTCAGAGAACAGAATTAGGAACTGCATTTGTGGCAGTGGGGAAAGACTGACATTGAGTCTGTGTTGGTATTTCCAAATCACACATTTTTAAACATTTTTTTATATTATTGTAAGCTTATGAAAAACGTAGCAGAGACCAAAAAGACACTCCCATTCTCCCCTTTTGCCCAGATTCACCAGTTAACACTTTTTTTCGCATTTATCAATTGCCCTCTTTTTTCTGAACATTCAAAAGTTGTATACGTCCTACACTTTACCCTTAATGCTTCAGTGTATGCTTCCTACAAACAGATTCTTTTACATAACAATAATACCTGGCACAATTCCCAAGTTCAGGAAGTTTAACATTGATACATACTGTCTTACAGTGATTTTCTTTTCCTCCACTGGGGAGTTGCTGCTTTTCTTTTGGTAATTTTTAAGTGTCTGATTCAGACACAATATTAATCTGTTTTTACTTGTTTGGTTTATACTCATATTTCTTTTCTCTTAAACTGAAAATCTTGTTCCCTTACATTAATATGCTTAAAATTTTCAACATATATGAGTTCCTGTTATTAAATGATATTTTATTTTCTTGCATTTCTAATTGTCTTTAAAGTATATTTCACTAAGGATACATAGTGTTTTTTTTGTTTTTTTTTTTTTTTTTTTTTTTTTTTTTTTTTTTTTTTTTTTTGAGACGGAGTCTCCTCTGTCGCCCAGGCTGGAGTGCAGTGGCCAGATCTCAGCTCACTGCAAGCTCCGCCTCCCGGGTTCCCACCATTCTCCTGCCTCAGCCTCCCGAGTAGCTGGGACCACAGGCGCCGAGGATACATAGTTTTAAAAAGTCACTTGAAATACTTTTTTGCTCTGTGGATATATCACCAATTTGATGTACAACTTCAGTTCATTTTTCAGTTTTCAATTTTTAGGCATTGGTTTTTCTTAAACTTCATTTTGGAATAATTTTAGGCTTATACAGAAAAGTTGCAACAATAAAAAACTCCCCAGAGTTTCCACATACCTTGCAGCTACTACAGTGGAATTTTTTTTGAGACAGGTCTTAGGACTTGCTGTCACCCAGGCTGGAATGCAGTGGCTCAATCATAGCTCACTGCAGCCTCAACATCCTGGGCTCAAACAGTCCCCGTGCCTCACCCTCCAGAGTAGCTAGGACTACAGGCATGTGCCACTATACCCAGCTAATTAAAATTTTTTTTCTTTGGGAAGCCGAGGTGGACGGGTTGCCTGAGTTCAGGAGTTTGAGATCAGCCTGGGCAACATGGCAAAACCCCATCTCTACTAAGTACAAAAAATTAGCCAGGCATGGTGGTGTGCACCTGTAATCTCAGCTACTCAGGAGACTGAGGCACAAGAATCACTTGAACCCGGGAGGTGGAGGTTGCAGTAAGCCGAGATCTCACCTCTGCACTCCAGCCTGGGCAACAGAGCAAGACTGTCTCAAAAAAAAAAAAAAAAAAATTTTTTTTTGTAGAGACAAGATCTCACTATGTTGACCAGGTTTATCTCAAACTCCTGCCCTCAAGTGATCCTCCTCTGCCTCCCAAAGTGTTAGGATTACAAGCGTGAGCCACTGTGTCCTGCCTACAGTGATGTTCTAATGGCAATTTTTCTTTTCCTTACTTTTTCTACATTTAATAATTGGAATTCTCCTGTAAGGAAGAGCTGTTCCTTCTCTCCCATTGATTTATTTATTTGGTTATGTCTGAAATAGACTCATGGATATTTTATTCTTTGGGCTATATTTTAAAGGATTACTTATTTCTCTGTTTTCATTTATTTTTTTTAATTTGAGACAGGGTCTTGCTCTGTTTCCCAGGCTGGAGCACAGTGGCACAGTTGTACCTCACTGTAGCTTTGACCTCCTGGGCTCAAGTGATCCTCCACCCTCAGCCTCCCAAGTAATTGGGACGGTAGGCACGTGCCACCATGTCTGACCAATTTTTAAATTTTTTGTAGAGATGAGGTCTTGCCCTGTTGCGCACACTGGTCTCAAACTCTTGAGCTCAAGTGATCCTCCTGCCTCAGCCTCCTACTTTTTGTCTTTCAGTTTTAATTTTTCATATAGCATTTTAAAAACTTAAGGAAATTTTCAGTTACCCAAAGGTGGAGAGAACTGTATGATGAGTCCCATGTTTCATCTATTTTTACTACTTATCAACATTTGGACAGACTTTTTTTATTTATTCCAGCCTCTGCCTTTTTTGTTACTGGAGTTTAAAAAAATTATTATTTACTATTTATTATTATTTATTATTTATTTGAGACAGTCTTGCTTTTTTGCCCAGGCTGTAGTGCAGTGGCAAGATCATGACTTAGAGCAGCCTCCACCTCCTGCGTTCAAGTGACTCTCCCACCTCAGCTTCCCAAGTAGCTGGGACAGCATGTCCAGCTAGTTTCTGTATTTTTAGTAGAGACAGGGTTTTGCCATGTTGCTCAGGCTGGTCTCAAACTCCTGAGCTCAGTCTACCTGCCTTGGCCTCTCAGTGTTGGGATTACAGGTGTGAGCCACTAGGCCTGGCCTTGCTGGAGTGTTTAAAGCAAATCCCTAATATCTTATTATTTCATACCTAAGTCCCTATCATGGCATTGTTTTTTAATTGAAAACTTAAACATTTTATATTATGCAAGGAGAATTACCACATGTTGGTGGGGGAATAAATAAATAAGGAAAAAGACAACAAAAATAATCTGTGTTTCTACTGCCCAGATATAATCAGCGTTAAAATTTCATGTATCTTTTCAAGCTTTTTTTGGTTATAAATAAGCATATAAAGCAAATTTTGGGGTGGAAAAAAATTTCTTGTGTTTTTATTTAAATGCCGACTGAATCCATTCTGTGGATGAACTGAACTACTCAGCCCTTCCATCTGCCTGGATGCTGAAGATGCTTTTAATTCTTTGCTCGAAGCTGGGCAGCTCTGAGCTGCTGTTGCCTTCAAGCTGTTTGCCTGAGTGGCAGGTCGTATCCTGCAGGGCCACATCGTTGGGTCAGAGGCCAGAGCATCTGAAGATCTGTTGCCTCACAGTGAGCACTTGTGCCTGTCACCTGAGCATGGCAGCTGCTGCTCTAATAACCAGGCACTGACTCAGTTTCCCCAAAGCAATGGTAGCTAAGAGAATTTTTCTTTTGGAAGAGTTTCAGCTGTGGCAGGGGAGTCCTATGCCCTTCCCAACGCCCCTGTTTTTGTCACCTTTCTAGGCTTGGAGAACCCCCTGCCTGAGCGTACCCGGGAAAAGGAAGAACCAGTGGTTCGAGAGACAGGTGAGGTGGTCGACTGCCACCTCAGTGACATGCTGCAGCAGCTGCACAGTGTCAATGCCTCCAAGCCCTCGGAGCGCGGGCTGGTCAGGCAAGGTGGGTACTGCGGGGCCCTGGGCGGGGCAGGATTGCTTGGGGCATCTGGAGAAGGCAGGAGGAGCCTTGGCCAACAAAGCACTGGTGACTTGTCCAGGCCCTGTCTCCATAGGACCATTGGTTTCCCCATTTCCTGATATCCGAGGCCCTGCTTGCTGTGGCTCCTGCCTTCTTTTCTGATCCGTCTCTTACTCTAGCACCTCGATGTGCCACCTTCACACGCTGTTTCTTTTGCTCAGTAAGTTCCTGTTGTTTCTTCAAGACCCTTGAAATAACAGACCCAGACGTACTGCAGCCTCAGGGCTTTCTCCCTGGCCCTGGCATGAAAGCACTTCTTCCAGACACCACATGGCTCACACTGTGGCCTCCTTCAAGTGTCTGCTCCGGTGTCACCTCCGTGAGCATCTCCCTGGCCCCTCTGCTGGTGCTTCGCATCCCCTTACCCACTGCATAGTTTTCCATAACACTTCTCACCCAACATAGTCCAACACGTCCTTCTTCTTTGATTGGATTTAAAGTAAGGTGTTTGTTGCATGCACTGAATATAACATTTTAATGTGTTTGCAGCCGGCGTCTGTCTTCACAGTTTCCTAATTACTCCAAACTGGAAAACTAGATGTCTCTGACTCTTACCATGATAGAAGTCACTGGTATTTTGCCCATACTTAATTTGATTAGTCTTTGCCCCTGCAACCACAGTGTAAGCTCTGTGGAGGCTGGGGTTTTGTCTGTTGCTCACTGTACCTGCAACAGTGCCTGGCACGGTAGGCCTTCAGTAAATGGGTCAGTGGAATGAAGGAGTGAGTGGAACTTGGTGCGCTGTGTTGAAACTTTCTGTGTAGAGATGTCTATGCTGCTGCTTGTCTGAGCCTGTTGGCAGCAGAGGCCCTGCTTTGCTCTTCTCTGGGGCCCTAGGCCTCTCAACTGAGCCCAGGTGGTGTGCCCAGCAGGCTTCCTTGTTCCCTGGTGTGGGCCACATGTGTGGACCAGAGAAGAAGAGGCTGGTCCTGACCAATTGTCTGTCTGTTTCTGTCTTAGAGGAGGCTGAGGATCCTGCCTGCATCCCCATCTTCTGGGTCAGCAAGTGGGTGGACTATTCGGACAAGTACGGCCTTGGTAGGTTTCTTCCAGAACCAGGTGGGTGACTCAGGCACAGCCAGGTGACCTTTTCAGTTGTTACAGGCTCTGGCCTTTTTGAGCTCCCAGGTACTCTTAGTGCCCTCCTTTCTCCATCCCAGGCCTCCCAATTCCAGCTCCCAGTGCTCCCCGACTCCCCAGCCTTTTTCCCCCACTGCCCAGAGACAGGGTCCTACTCTGTCGCCCAGGCTGGAGTGCAGTGGCACAGTCATGACTCACTACAGCCTCAAACTTCCAGGCTTATGCCTGGCTGCAGGCTCAGCCTCCTAAGTAGCTGGGACTACAGGCATGCACCATCACGCTCAGCTAATTTTTAAAATAGTTTGTAGAGATGAGGTCTCATTACATTGCCCAGACTGGTCTCAAACTCCTAGGCTCAAACAATCCTCCCCCCTCAGCCTCCCAAAGTGCTGGAATCACAGGCATCTGCCACCGCACCCAGCCCCACTCCCCACTTTCTATTCCCCCTTTCTGAGACCTCTCTCCACTGATCCCTAGGGTATCAGCTCTGTGATAACAGCGTGGGGGTGCTCTTCAATGACTCAACACGCCTCATCCTCTACAACGATGGTGACAGCCTGCAGTACATAGAGCGTGACGGCACCGAGTCCTACCTCACCGTGAGTTCCCATCCCAACTCCTTGATGAAGAAGGTAAGTGCCGTCCGGCTATTGCGGGAGTGGGACCTGTGCTGGAGGGCGAGACTCTAATTCTGGAACCCCTCACTTACTTTTCATCCAGATCACCCTCCTTAAATATTTCCGCAATTACATGAGTGAGCATTTGCTGAAGGCAGGTGCCAACATCACGCCGCGTGAAGGTGATGAGCTCGCCCGGCTGCCCTACCTGCGGACCTGGTTCCGCACCCGCAGTGCCATCATCCTGCACCTCAGCAATGGCAGCGTGCAGATCAACTTCTTCCAGGTGAGCTGGATGTCACCAGGGGCAGGAGAGAGCTGGGGTAGGCTCCACGTGCTTGGCAGTGGCCCATGTGAGTTGAGTATGGAGTGAATGGCTCAGGTACCTATAACCTGTTGTGTCTTCCCTCTACTCCCTAACATACACTGGCCTCTGGGATCAGCAATCCCTGCCCCTCTTCTCTTGCAGGATCACACCAAGCTCATCTTGTGCCCACTGATGGCAGCCGTGACCTACATCGATGAGAAGCGGGACTTCCGCACGTACCGCCTGAGTCTCCTGGAGGAGTACGGCTGCTGCAAGGAGCTGGCCAGCCGGCTCCGCTATGCCCGCACTATGGTGGACAAGCTGCTGAGCTCACGCTCGGCCAGCAACCGCCTCAAGGCCTCCTAATAGCTGCCCTCCCCTCCGGACTGGTGCCCTCCTCACTCCCACCAGCATCTGGGGCCCATACTGGTTGGCTCCTGCGGTGCCATGTCTGCAGTGTGCCCCCCAGCCCCGGTGGCTGGGCAGAGCTGCATCATCCTTGCAGGTGGGGGTTGCTGTGTAAGTTATTTTTGTACATGTTCGGGTGTGGGTTCTACAGCCTCGTCCCCTCCCCCTCAACCCCACCATATGAATTGTACAGAATATTTCTATTGAGTTCGGAACTGTCCTTTCCTTGGCTTTATACACATTAAACAGATGTGAATCTTCTTTTTCTTGTATTTCCTGAGGGGTGCCAGGGCCTGGGATCCAGGGAACATCTCTGCTTCATCAGCCCCAGGCTGCCCAGCCTCTGCCAGTCTTGTGGGGGGTAGGGGGTGACAGTGTCTGTGGACCAGACTGGAGTGCAGTGGCATGATCCTGGCTCTCTGCAGCCTGGAACTCCTGGGCTCAAGCGATTCTCCCACCTTAGCCTCCCAAGCAGCTGGGACTACAGGCGTGCGCCACCATGCCTGGCTAATTTTTCAAATGTTTTGTAGAGGTGGGGTCTTGCCATGTTGGCCAGGCTGGTCTGGAATTCCTGAGCTCAAGTGATCCTCTCACCTCAGCCTCCCAAAATGCTGGTATTATAGGCGTGAGCCACTGCACCCAGCCTGGCAGTCTTTTCTGATTCTGATTCTGAGGCCAGCCACAGGCTCAGCTCTTCAGCTAGCCAGCATGGAGACCATTTGTGTGGCCTCCGGCCCACCTCACCTCCCTGCAGCCCCAGGGCACGACCCCCTGGCCTCTGAGTCTGGTGGGTAGTAGGGCAGGAAGAGGCTCTCAGAGGCGCAACTCCTCATGACTCGGTGCGTGTGGAGGAGCAGCTGTGGGAAGCGGTTTGTGAAGTACTGGACGAAGCCGTCAGGGACTTGGCCAAGTGCCTGTTGCACCTCAACTGGGAGCTCCCTGTAGTGGTGCTTCTGGGGGTAGGTAGAGCAAGAGAACCCTGGCTCAGCTGCAGCCGTGCCTCCCCAAGACCCAGGCCCACCCAGGCCCCAACACATACCTTGTTCCTCACAGCACGGAGCAGGTCTCGCACTGATGTCCCCTTATAGGACCGGAACTTTCTCAGGTCTGTGGACAGGGAATTCAGTGTCCTGAAACTGTCCCTGCTGGGCTCCCCTCCACCACCCAGGCCCACCTGAGTGTAGCCTCTACCTGTCTGCAGTGGCATGGAGATGTGCTCGTGCCAGTTGTCCCGGACCACCGCGCAGCCTCCTGCCTCCAGTGCCCTCATCAGGGGCTCCTGCTCAGACTCCTTCTCCAGCCAGTCACTGACATCCTGAGGCCCCAGAGAGCTCCTGAGCCTTGTGACCGGGGCCAGATGCCACATAGCCAGGAGTGTGTTGTCTGACTTAGGGGAGTGATTTAGGGTGACTGACAAGGATCATTGCCTCTGGGGGCGTGAAGCTTCTCTATGCCACGCCTCTGTTATTTACCACCAACCTATGAGCTTGGTACTGCTGTCCCCTTTCTACAGATGAGCAAACTGCAGTTCAGAGGCACGAAGTCTCTTGCTCAAGTTCACACAAGTGCAGTGGGCTACTGGCACAGCATGAGTGACGACTCAGGTGGAAAGGAATGGGCTATGTTCCCATACAAAGGGCAGCTGGGGCTGGCGAAGCTGGCAGTGAGTGGACCGGAGAGTGCCAAGATGGTGGAGTTTAGGAGTCCAGGCTGGGTCCCAGTTTAGGGAAAGAGCCAGGTTGCCAGGACCAGGTAGCTCTTCCTGTTTTCCCTCAGCCAATCTAATATCCCATTTCTAATTGCCCAGGACCCAAACTTAGGACTTTTGGGGACCATTCCCAAGCTTTCCTTCTGACCTGGAAGAACTGGAGTTGCTTGGCTCTGCTCCAAAAGAAGGGGTGGGCCAGCACCTGGGGGGCAGAGGGGCGTGCCTGTGGCAGCAGGCTCAACATGGCTGCAACCAGGTCCCGGGCAACCACCTTGTCTGGAGGATGGAAGAGGAAGAGAAAAGTCTGCTTCAGGCCTGCCTAGTGTCTTGCCCTTCCTCCCTTCTCTGCCCAGCCCAGGGCTCCCTCACCATGGACCTCTTCCTCCAGGTGAGCCAGACAGGGAACCCCTGTGAGGATGTTTGCCTGGCGATAAAGACTGTCTCCAAAGGGGTGGCTGCCACCAGAAAGCACGTAGTAGAACACGCAGCCTGCAGAGAAGATGTCCACGGCGCTGGTCTGGGACAAGAGAGATGGGCGTAAGAAGGAAATCTCTGCTTCCAGGAAGTCGGCCTGGCTAAATTCTCCCATGGGCTGATAGAGCAGCCAGGGGTTTGGTTCAGACTGGAACTCAAGAAGCTTCCTGAGCAGCATCTCCTTGGCTCTAGATGCTCCCTGCCCACACACACACACACCACTATAGGGGTCCCATGGTTTTCATCCAAAACCTTTGCCCCTGCTGAGCTAGTTCAGGTTTCCAAGCTTCATTCCTGCAGGGTGTAGGCAGGTAACATATGTGGGTGCCAGACATGAGGCAATAAGGCAATCAGGAGGACTGTGGTGACCTGGCATGGGTTCTGTCTGCAGGGGCACCTGGTCTTTAGCTCCAACCCATTGTCACCAGGGGACTCTCCAGGGTGGCAGAGCTGATTTTGTTTTTTTTGAGTTGGGGCCTTGCTCATGTTGCCCAGGCTAGAGTGCAGTGGCACAACCACAGCTCACTGTAACCTCAAACTCCTGGGCTCAAGCAGTCTTTGGCCTGAGTAGCTGGGACTACAGGCATGTGTCACCATGCCCGACCAATTTTAAAATTGTTTGTAGAGATGGGTCTTCTTATGTTACCCAGGCTGATCTCGAACTTTTGGCCTCAAGTGATTCCGATATTTTAAAGAAAATCCAGAAATCCAAATTGTATGTGGAATTTCTCAAACGTTAAAATATTGGGCCAGGTATGTGGCTGACACCTTGTAATCCCAGCACTTTGGGAGGCCGAGGTGGGAGGATTGCCTGAGGCCAGGAGTTCAAGACCAGCGTGGGCAACATGGTGAGACCCTGCCTCTACAAAAAAATACAAAAATTAACTGGGTGCCATGTTGCGTGCCTGTAGTCCCAGCAACCTGGGAGGCTGAGGTGAGAGGATCCCTTGAGCTCCGGAGTTTAAGGCTGCAGTGAGCTGTGATGGTATCACTGCACTCCATGACAGAGCAAGACCCTGTCTCAAAAATACATATATAGGGCCAAGCACAGTGGCTCATGCCTATAATCCCAGCACTTTGGGAAGCTGAGGTAGGTGAATCACCTGAGGGTTGGGAGTTCGAGACCAGCCTGGCCAACATGGCATAAACCCCATCTCTACTAAAAACACAAAAATTAACTGGGCGTGGTGGCACCTGCCTGTAGTCCCAGCTACTAGGGAGGCTGAGGCAGGAGAATCACTTGAATCCAGGACGCGGAGGTTGCAGTGAGCTGAGATCATGCCACTGCACTCCAGCTTGGGCAACAAGAGCGAAACTCCATCTCAAAAAAAAAAAAGAAAAGAAAAAGAAAAAAAAAATATATATATATAGGCCACTAATTTAAAAATAAACTGTACAGTCTCATGACATCACGCATTTAGTCCTTGAGCCCAAGTCACCACTTTGAGCTTTCTCTCACCTTTAGGACTGGGGGCAGCCTTCCCTGGTGACTGTCCTTTTGTGTGATTGGCATCTATTTCTCTGGCTTCAACTTCCGCCCACACACTGTGACTCAAAATCCACAATTCTGGGGTCCCAAACGCAAGTGTCTGTCTGTGTGGGTCAGATGCTGCTCTGTGTATCAACTAATTAGCTCATCTGATGCCCTCCAAAACCTTCGACACCAGTGGTTCTCAAACTTGGCTCCACATAAAAATGACCCAGGCAATTAGGTCAAAATCACTGGGTGTGAGGTCTGGGTTTTTTTGTTTGTTTTTTTGTGTTTTGAGAGAGAGAGTCTCACTCTGTTGTCCAGGTTAGAGTGCAGTAGCCTGATCTTGACTCACTGGAACTTCCACCTCCCAGGCTCAAGCGATCCTCCCACCTCAGCCTCCTAAGTAGCTGGGACCACAGATGCACACACCCACACCGGCTAAATAGTGTGTGCTTTTGGTAGAGATGAGGTCTCCCTAGGTTACCCAGGCTGGTCTTGAACTCCTGAGCTCAAGCAATCCGCCTGCCTTGGCCTCTCAAAGTGCTGGGATTACAGGTGTGAGCCACCGCACCCAGCAATGGGCATCCTTTTTTTAAGTTGGGTGCCACGGCCCGGTTAGTAGGCAGGTTGGAGCCACCAGTGAAGCATTTGGCAAAACCACATTTCTTTCTAGCTCAGGGTTTCCCAACCTCAGCACCACTGACATTGTGTTAATTCTTTGGGTTGAGTGCTGTGCTGTCCTGTAAGACATTTAGCAGCATTTCCAGCAGATGCCAGTAGCCCCTCCCTCCCAAGTCATGACAGTCAAAAATGTCTCCAGACATTGCCTAATGTCCCCTGGGTGGCAAAACAGTTCCTGATACTGCTGTAGAAGGAAGGATAAATTATCCCTTCTTTAAGAAGAAACAAGCTTGGAGGAGCAGCTCAAAGTCACACAGCAAGTGTCATGGAGTCTCCTCAGGAGGGGAACTGGGACAGGGACGGATTCCTGCAGCCTGGGGCAGCTGTGTGCCTGGAGGACTTGGTGGATAGACTCACAGGACTGTCTGGTGGCAGGAGCTGCAGGAGCTCGGGCGCCATCCAGCCTTCCGTGCCGGGGATGCCGGAGTGGAGGCTGAAGCTACAGCGGCCAGCAGGCAGCTTCTTGCAGAGGCCGAAGTCTGAAAGCACCACCCTGCCCAGGCCCTGGCTGTCAGGCCCGGTGATGAGAATATTGCCTGGCTTCAGGTCCCGGTGCACTGTGGGAGGTGGGCAGAAAGAAAGCTGGTTGCTGAGGGCGGAAGGCAGGCGCTAAGGACAGGAAGAGGGAGGCAGGGGTAGTGCGGGTACCTATGTGTAAAGAATGCAGGTGGGCCAGGCCAGACATCAGCTGCTGCAGCACCACCTCGGGCTCCAGGCCCCCGCGATCCAGGTCCGGGTTTTCTACGTACTGAGCAGCAGTGAGGGCCAAAGCATCAATCTCCAGCCCGGACCTTCCCCCCCACCCTCCCTGAGCCCTCAACTCACCTCCTGCAAGGAGGCCCGGCAGAGCTCCAGGGCAATGTAGTGGAACTGGGGTCCCCGCTCGGTGCAGAAGTAGCGGAGCACATTGGGGTGTCTGTCAGACTCCTGCAGCAGTTGAACTTCCCGCCGAACCAGGCCAAAGCACTCGCGGAGGAGCCGCTTGACAGCCACTGCTCGTCCCTCAAACTGTCCCCTGGAAAGTGGGTGATGGCGGGGGCAGGGGGGCATTCAGGGAAACGAGATAAAGGGCACTTTGGGAGGCCAAGGCGGGAGGATCACTTGAGGTCAGGAGTTCGAGACCAGCCTGGCCAACATGGCAAAACCCTGTCTCTACTAAAAAAATATAAAAATTAGCCGGGCGTGGTGATACACACCTGTAATCCCAACTACTGGGAAGGCTGAAGCCCGGAATTGCTTCAACCTGGGAAGCGGAGGTTGCAGTGAGCTGAGATTGCACCACTGCCCTCCAGCCTGGGCAACAGAAAAAGACTCAAAAAAAAAAAAAAAAAAGCAGATAAAGGAAAGAGCAGGACTGGTGAGTGAGGGATTAACCTGTACCCACCTCGGGGAGTCTTTGGAAGAATGTCTCTCTTGGGGACAGTGCCCACGAGGGCTGTGAGTGCCATGTCCCCAGCTTGGCTCCTGGCTGCCACTCACCGGAAAACGAAAGTCCCGCCTGCCCCGCGGCCCAGCACGTCCTTGGGATTGAAGGAAATCTTCCCCACTACGGTGAGCTGCTCAGCTGGGGGAGAGGAGGGTGGTGACTCAGGCAGCCTCTGCCTACCTTTGCCTGCCACTGGCCCAGTCCACACTCACCTCGACCTTTTCTGCGCCTCCACCCTCCCATGCTTAGCCTGGTGCAGTGGGTAAGAGCAAGGGCCCAGGTGCCAGACTGTCTGGGTTCAATGTCTGGTGCTGCCACTGACTCTTTGTCTACTTAGGCAAATTCCTCACTTCTGTGCCCTCAGTATTCTCATCTGTAGAGCAGTGAACTAAGGTTAAAGAGCCCACACAATATTATTGTGAGGATTAAATGGATATATTGAAAGAACGGGTAGAGGTGATGTCTGCTATATTATCCTCTTTTATCTCTCCCCCTCTTTCGGCATCTTCTGCACAGGTTTGTTTTATTTTCCCTTTACATTCTCTGCCATTCTGCCCACCTCCACCAGCTGTAACCGAATCCTTTTAATTGACACTGAATCAGCTTCAATTTCAAGGGAAGGTGAGTTCCGGCAGTTGGAAGAGTGATGAGAGTGAGTGTAGCCACAGAAAAAAGACTGGACCGGACAGAAGCAGTGGGCATTGGATGCTAACGTGCCCAGAGTTAGTTCCAGGGCAGCAGGGAGCCCCCCCAGAGTCCTTGGTTTCCCATTAGGATGGGTGGGGTTGGCTCAGGTGGGCAAAGATCTGTAGGTTGGGACAGTTACTGCCCTTCCCTTTGGGCAGTCTGTGAGAGATGTCTCCTCTGACCCTGGCAAATCTGGGCAGGCTGTGTCGTGCTCAGCTCCAACGGGTACTATTCATATAGCAAAACGTATATGGCACCCCTAGAGTTGTGCAGTGCAGTGGTCCTGAGAACATTCTACTTAGAGTTTCTAGCTTCAGTTTTTACAGTCAGCTTTAGGAAGAGTAAATGAAAACCAGCATTAGGTCTGGGCACCGTGGCTCACACCTGTAACCCCAGCACTTTGGGAGGCCGGGGCAGGTGGGTCACTTGAGTTCAAGACCAGCCTGGGCAACATGATGAAACCCCATCTTTACAAAAAAAAAAAAAAAAAATTAGCCAGGCATGGTGTTGTGTGCCTGTAGTCCAGCTACTTGGGAGGCTGAGGTAGGAGGATTGGCTTGAGCCTGGAAAGCAGAGGTTACAGTGAGCTACATTTCAGCCTGAGTGACACAGCAAGACCCTATCTCAATAATAATAATAATAATAATAATAATAATAATATCAGCATTAGGGATCAGTGAGAAAATCACCAAGCTGCACCTTAGCATTCCTCTGGATTATTTGCTTAGAGTTCACACTCATCTGTCAGCAAGATGCAGACAGTACCTTCATTGGTATACACTGAACTTTCTGGAGTAATGGGCTCAGGCAGGGCCTTGCTGGAAGCACATCACCCACACATAGGAAAAACAGGCAGATCAGCGAGCAGGGACAGAGCTGCTTGAACAAACCCTGCTCATCTGACTGCAGGTGACAGTCACCCTTCTGGGCCCTCTTTGTGTCACTGGCTCTGCTGGACTCAGAGGCTCTTGTGTGTCTGCTCTCAGTGCTCTCAGCATGGAGTAAACACTTGCTTAGAGTTTCCTGGGTTAGATGTTCAGAAGCACCCTTGAAGAGAGATGCCAGACTTAAGGCCACAAAGGCCTTCAATGCAGATATAATGAGCTGGGGAGGCTCAGTCTGCACGCACAGATATTTGCCATCACTCTGCTCAGCCTTTTGCATAATTATAATGGAAAGGCAGCAAATGTGGGAGCTTTTGTTGTCGTTGTTTTTTTAGAAACGGGCTCACTCTGTCACCCAGGCTGGAGTGCACTGGCGTGATCTAGGTTCACTGCAACCTCAAACTCCTGGGCTCAAGCAATCCTCCTGCCTCAGCCCCCCCCAGGCAGCTGGATTACAGGCATATGCCTCCATGCCTGGCTAATCTTTTTGTATTTTTAATTTTTGTAGAGATGGGGCTTCACTATGTTGCCCAGGCTGGGCTCAAGCAATCCTCCTATCTCGGCCTCCCAAGTTCAACTCTAAAGTAATCAAAAGTTGTCATGTCAGGGAGAAAGGGCATACAGTCAGAATTGCCTCTGGCAATCCCGAATACACATGATGGACTTTGCTGCTGCTTCTCCACAGGTTGGGGAACGCTTACAGTCAGTCACATTCTTTCACAGGTATTTGCCGGGTATTGGTCAAGCAGGGGCACCATCCCACAGAAATGAGGGCACCTGCTGGAGCCAGCCACGTGCATTTGGACCCCTGAGCTGCCACTTGTTAGCTTTGTGAGCCAGGGTTGGGTTGGGAATTGTCACTAGACCTTTCTGCCTTAGTTTCCTCTTCCATAAAAGGGGCATTCTATAATAACATTCACCTCACAGGAATGTTATCTCATGAGTTAATGCATTCAAATGATTCAGAACAGCGCCTGGTATAGCCTGGTATACAGTAAGCGCTATATAAATGTTATCTCTGGTTCAGGCTGGATTGCATCCACTTGTCATTGAATACATGATGCAGCCAGAGGTCCTGAGGGAGCCCAGCCAAACATATGTACATGAATTTCTGTAAGTTTTTGTTTTTGTTTTTTGTGGGTTTTTTGTTTTGTTTTGTTTTGAGGCGTAGTCTTGCCCTGTTGCCCAGGCTGGAGTACAGTGGCACAATCTTGGCTCACTGCAACCTCTGCCTCTTGGGTTCAAGCAATTCTTGTACCTCAGTCACCCCCCAGTAGCTGGAACTACAGGCACCCACCACCACACCAGGCTCATTTTTGTATTTTTAGTAGAGGTGTGGTTTCACCATGTTAGCCAGGCTGGTCTCGAACTCCTGACCTCAAGTGATCCCCTTGCCTCAGCCTCCCAAAGTGCTGGGATTACAGGCATGAGCCACCGCGCTTGGCCAAATTTATTCAAGTTAAATGAAAGTTGGCCATGACTCCACTGTAGTTTTGTGAACCATAAAGCAGTCCATAAGGACTTTGACAAGAATGACCCTGGGGAAAGATGGAGTCCTGGTTGTCCAGGTAAATAGCCAGACTCAACTTGAGTCAGAAGGTCCAGGGAGATGGGCGTTTTGGGATACTGTGGGGTGAGTATTACTTGGACCCACCCAGGGCCAGTAAAATGACAAAAACTACAACAGCTCAGGGCTGAGAAAATCCTGCTGCAGGGCCCTCTGAAAGAGCTGACCCCTGAGGAAGGGGAGCTGTTTTCCTCTGGGCTAAGGCACAGTGACCACAGAGGCGGACATTGTGAACAGCACTGGAGCATCAAGCCACGTGTAGCGTAAACTTCCGCCTGAGAAGGTGACGGCAGGGTGGGGCCAAGGTATGAGGAAGTGGCTTGAGCAGTGACTAGAAGGAGCCAGCACGAGTTCACAAAGACAACCAAATACATGAGCCCAGCCCAGAGCCAATCAAGCAGAAGTAGCCTGGGCTGATTGGTAAAGGCATGCAAGAAGCCCCTGGAGCATTCCAGATGCCAGAGGAACCTTAAAAGGTTCACAGCTCACTGCAGCCTCGACCTTCTGGACTCAAGTGATCCTACTGCCTTAGCCTCCTGAGTAGCTGGGACTACAGGTGCACACCACCACACCTGGAGAATTGTTTGTATTATTTGTAGAGACGGGTCTCCCTATGTTTCCCAGGCTGGTCTTGAACTCCTGTCCTTAAGCAATCCCCACCTTGGCCTCTGAAAGTTCTGGGATTACAGGTGTGAGCCACTGTGCCCAACCTAAAAGGGCTTTAGTCCTTATAGGACAAAACTGAGAAAAGATAAGAGAAGCGTTTAAAAAAAAAAGGTACTAAATTGCACAAAGGTCATTTACTATTATTGCTTCCAAATATAACATCATTTTAACATGAATATTAATATTACCTAAGTATTATTTAATAATAATGATTGTTGACTTCTCATGGTGAGATGATGTAATGAGCTGGATGTTATTATTCCCATTTGACAAATGAAAAAACTAAGCTCAAAGGAGGTAAACAGAGAGCAGCCTTAGATCTATACCCAATTTTGTCTACACCCAGGTTCCTTGAAAATAATAATACAATAATGAGCTGGGTGTGGTGACTCATGCCTGTAATCCCAGCACTTTGGGAGGCTGAGGTGGGAGGATCACTAGAGGACATCAGTTCAAGACCAGCCTGGGCAACATGGCGAGACCCAATCTCTACCAAAAAAAAAAAAAAAAAAAAAAAACTTTAAAATTAGCTCTGCATGGTGGTTTAGGCCTATAGTCACAGCTACTTGAGAGGCTGAGGAGGGAGGATTTCTTGAGCCCAGGAGCTTGAGACTGCAATGAGCTATGATTGTGCCACTGCACTCCAGCCTGGGCAACAGAGCAAGATCCTGTCTCCAAAAAAATAGTGATTGAAAAATGACAGCAGACACTCCTAGAGTGCTCAATTACATAATAGGCTCTACTCAAAACACTTATTAATTCATGTAGACCTAACAACCCCACTGTAGTGGCTTTTAATAAACCAGCTTTGCAGTTAAATCTGCCCCTTGCTTTTCTCTGTTCCTGACTACCCTGTCCCGTTCACTCAAGCTCACCTTCGGGGTCGTCGAGTGGCTGGGCTTGCTTCGAGGGACTTTGAAGCCTCTTCTGGCTCCTCAGGGTGACCCCCGAGTGCAGGGACTGGGCATCCTGGGAGATGTCAGCAGAGTCTGCAGGTACCAGGGGGGTCTCCTGCTGCTTCTCCACCACTTGTGGCTGCTGCTGTAACATGAGAGCCTAAGGGAGCTCTGTCCTGGTCACACCCTGCCCTGTGATGGGCCCAGTATCTGTGACTGAGATGGCCTCACCAGGCAGCAATGAACTTACAGAGCAAGATCACAGGGGCCTGGGGAGCTGCTGGGAGGGAGGCAGGGGGCAAAGTCAGAGCTGGGTAGAGGGAGAGAGTTGCTGAGTGGTCTCAGAGAGGAGGAGCAGCATTTCCCCAAGACAGACCTGAGGTCAGGGCGATGGGCCTACCTGCCTCATCACAAATAGAATCCACCCTCCCAGGAGGACAGCAGTGAGGCTAGCTGCCAGCAGGTCTTGGGGTCCCAGCCCCAGGTAGGAGTCTGGAATCTTTTCTTCTGGATGCAGCTCGGAGTCCCAAAGTTTCTCTCGACTCAGGCTCAATAGCTGGGGATAAAGGGCCCTTCACTGTTAGCACCTCCTTCCACCGGGGAACCCCTAACCTGTCTTCATCACCCCGCACAGGGCTGGGCTTAGCTGAAGGGGCAGTGAGTGGTCTGTGTATGGTGGGAAACGTGGCACTCTCCACAGTGCTGAAACATCATGTTGCCCAGAAGAATGGTTTTCTAAGAATGGTTTCTAAGAAAAGAATGGTTTCATTTCTACCCAATGACCAGCATTTCATGAGAGGTCACGAAAAGACACAGGTACTCTTGGAATGTCACGAAAAACATAGATATCCACCTCCAGAGATTCTAAATGCGTTAGCTCTGGAGTTGGCTTCCAGGTGATTCTGATGAGCAACCGGATTTGAGAATTATTGCTCTAGGCCATGGCTGTTCCTTCTAACCTTGAGCTATTTACTAGTGATTTGGCTCCAACCCTCTCCCAGGAGCACATGCTTTTATAGTTTTTGTTTTCAATGAATATTTTACAGTTTTTACACTGAAGAAGGATAAAGAAAACATGACCTACGTTTCATGATTTAGGTAGTCAATGTCTTTTTTTTTTTTTTTTTTCCGAAGAGACAGGGTTTCACTGTGTTATCCAGTGCAGTGGTGTGACCATAGCTCACCGCAGCCTCAAACTCTTGGGCTCAAGCAATCCTCCCACCTCAGCCTCCTGAGTAGCTGGGACTACAGGTGCACACCACCATGCCCCACTAATTTTTAATTTTTTTTTTTTTTTTTTTTTTTTTGGAGACCGAGTCTCGCTCTGTCGCCCAGGCTGGAGTGCAGTGGCCGGATCTCAGCTCACTGCAAGCTCCGCCTCACGGGTTCACGCCATTCTCCTGCCTCAGCCTCCTGAGCAGCTGGGACTACAGGCGCCCGCCACCTCGCCCGGCTATTTAATTTTTTTTTTTGTAGAGATGGGGTCTTGCTATGTTACCAAGGCTGATCTCAAGCTCCTGACCTCAAGGCATCCATCCTCCCACATTGACCTTCCAAAATGCTGAGAATATATGAATAAGCCATCGTGCCCAGCCACTTTTTGACACTTCTAACGTGTTTCTGGCAGTAACAACAACAACAACAACAACAACAAGTTTGTCTTCTGGGAAATTGTGTGAGGTCAATTGACCCACCCTGATTGTTATTCTTAGCAGCCTGAGGAAAAGGTCCAGGGGCTATTCCCCCATCTGCTGGGGCCTCCCTACCCCCCACTCTCTGCCAGCACTGACCTCCAAGAAGAAGGCTGGGGTCTGGGTGTTCTCTGGGGGTCTTGTGTCTGCAGTTCCACTCCCCGGGGTGGGATGGACCCTCAGCATGGTAGTGTGCAGGACTGGGGGTAGCTCGTGGTGTCCTAAGGTGGGGGGCAAAAGTCATCAGGCTGAAGGGGACCTTAGCTTTCCAGCTCAGAAGCTGGGCTCACAGGTTCTTTATCTTCATCTACTCCCAACTTTAGCCAGAGGATCTCACCAATGAGCAGCCACTGGCTTGGGAGGGCCACACTGCCTGAGGGGTATCTAACAGCAGTGCTGGGTGAGCCCTCTCGCTCTCCTGAGACTTGGAGTGTCACCTCATCTGTGGTGGGGCCATCTGTGGGGGCCAGGGTCAGTCCACGAGGCTACGGCAGAAGATGGAGAGCCATAAGTGAGGGAGGTTCTTCTCCCGTTCATCCTCTTTCCAGCCCCCTCAGAGACCACTTCTCACCACCAGGGCCACTCCTGTGTGGACCAGTGCTTTAGAGACATAGAAGCCAGTTTCATCCTTCCCCACATACAGCGTCATCCTAGCGGGAGAGAAGAAAAAGAAGAGAAGAATGAATGCTGGTGATGTGTAGTTTCCGTTATCAGGGTACTCATGCCCTTGTATATTTCCCTCTCACGTTGACTCGGCTTAGCCACGAGACTTGCTTTAATCAATAGACAACAGCAAATGTGGCATAAGTAGAGGCTTGAAAAGTGCTTGTGCCTTGAGGCTTCCTTCTGCATTTTTCTGTAGACCCTGAGACTACCATGGGAGAAAACCCAGGTTAGCCTGCTGGGGCGTGAGAGACCTCTTTAATCCCCCATAGGCCAAACAGTCCATCAGCTATGAGATAGGTGAGTGAGGCCATCCTAGATTCTCCAGACTCAACCAAGCCACAAGCAGACTGCAGAAAAACCACCCACCCATCCCAGCTGACCCACAGAATCTTGAAAAATAATAAATTGTTGTTTTTTAAGTTCTCTGTTTTGGGGAAATTTGTTATGCAGCTAAAGCTAGCTGATACATGTTCTATAGTCATGATTTCAAATCTATGTCTAACCGAGACCTCTTTCAAGAGCACAATTTTCTTTCTTTCCTTCCTTCCTTTCCTTCCTTTCCTTCCTTCCTTCCTTCCTTCCTTCCTTCCTTCCTTCCTTTCTTTCTTTCTTTTTCTTTCTTTCTTTCTTTCTTTTTCTTTCTTTTTCTCTTTCTTTCTTCCTTTCTTTTCTTTTCTTTTCTTTCTTTTTGAGATGGAGTCTTGCTCTGTTGCCCAGACTAGAGTGCAGTGGCGTGATCTCAGCTCACTGCAAGCTCCGTCTCCCAGGTTCACACCATTCTTCTGCCTCAGCTTCCTGAGTAGCTGGAACTATAGGTACCCGCCACCACGCCTGGCTAATTTTTTGTATTTTTTAGTAGAGATGGGGTTTCACCGTGTTAGCCGGGATGGTCTGATCTCCTGACCTCGTAATCCGCCTGCCTTGGTCTCCCAAAGTGCTGGGATTACAGGCGTGAGCCACCATGCCCGGCTGAGCTCAATTTTCTAAATATAAACTCATTACATCATTCTTTACTTCTTCCTCCTTCTTCTCCCCCACCTCCTCTAGTGTTCCCTGCCTCTGAAAATGACAGCACCCACGTGCTTCTAGAAACCTGAGCATGATCTTTGACTCCTTGCAACTCCCTAATCACCAAATTTTCACTGGTTCTTCCTTCTAATGTATCTCACACTCCACTTATTTTCCTCTCTAGAGTTTCTGCTCTAGCATAACGTATCTTCATTTCTTTCCTGAACAAATCAATATTGCATGAATGGTCCATTTCTTTCCGTATACCACTCTAAGATATTCTTTCTCAAATGAAAATATGATCAAATCACTTCCTTCCTTAAAACTCTCCAGTGACTTTTTAACTTTAGGAGAAAATGTCCAAGCCCTTTAAATGATCCTACAAGATCTCTTCTTAGCTTATAATCTCAGACCCTACTTCTTTCTCAGGTCTGTATTTCAGTCTTATTTAATTTTTTCCTGTTCCCCAAGTTCTATGCTCTCTCATCTCTCTCATTTCCTATTCATTTTTTAGGTTTCAATTTAGATGTTCCTTCCTCCAGGAAGCTTTCCATGACTGCCTCTTGTCCCCAGTCTTGATGTGGGTACTCTTCCTATACATTCCCATGGCATCTTATACTACTCTTATCTCATCCTTTATCATATCAGGTTGCAATAGTCCCTTTACATATCTGTCTCTCCCATTAGACTCGGGTTCCTGTAGGCAGGAACAATGACTGGGTTATTTGCTATTGTACTCCCAGACTCTAGTGAGACTGGCACACAGTAAGTGCTCAATTAATATTTGCAGAATGAATTGAAATGAATGGATGATCCCTGATTTTTCCAAGCTGTCTACTGGTTTCTCAAGATGGGGACACTAAGGTGTTAGATGCAATAAGGTTATTTAAAGTATTTATTTATTTATTATTTATTATTTTTTTGAGACGGAGTCTCGCTCTGTGGCCCAGGCTGGAGTACAGTGGCCGGATCTCAGCTCACTGCAAGCTCCGCCTCCCGGGTTCATGCCATTCTCCTGCCTCAGCCTCCGGAGTAGCTGGGACTACAGGCGCCCGCCACCTTGCCCGGCTAGTGTTTTGTATTTTTTAGTAGAGACGGGGTTTCACTGTGTTAGCCAGGATGGTCTCGATCTCCTGACCTCAAGATCCACCCGTTTCGGCCTCCCAAAGTGCTGGGATTACAGGCTTGAGCCACCGCGCCCGGCCCCTATTTAAAGTATTTAACAATCGATAAGGCACAGCACCTATCAACCAGAACAGGTTAAGACCTGGAGTCCCCCTCTGATATCGTTTGGCTGTGTCCCCACCAAAATCTCATCTTGAATTTCCATGTGTTGTGGGAGGGACCCGGTGGGAGGTAATTAAATCATGAGGGCTTTCCCATGCTGTTCTTGTATAGTGAATACGTCTCACAAGATCTGATGGTTTTATAAGGGAGAGTTTCCCTGCATATGCTCCTCTCTTTGCCTGCCACCATCCACGTAAGATGTGACTTGCTGCTCCTTGCTTTCTGCCATGGTTGTGAGGCTTCTCCAGTCACATGGAACTGTAAATCCAATTAAGCCTCTTTATTTTGTAAATTGCCCAGTCTTGGGTATGTCTTTATCAGCAGCATGAAACAGACTAGTACACCCTCCTAGGCCAGATCTTACCCTATGAGGTGCTGAACGGTGGGGGCTACCCAGGGGGTCCTGGGGTCGCTTGGAGGGCAGCACAGGACACCAGTTGGGTAAGTAACCAATTTGAAATGTTTTGACCCCTGGTTCAGCTGTACTGGTGTGTCACAGCTGAACATCTCGCCTGGCCATCAGACCCAGCCTGCAACCCCCAGACGGCTCCCTCCCTAGGCCCCAGGCATGAACACCTACAGCAGCTGGGTATCCAAGTCAGAGAAGAGGGTGGCTGTGTCCTGGGGGCCTGAGGCAGGCAGTCGGATGTGGCCCCAGCGGAGGGCGAGGAAATGCAGAGTGTCTCGAGCCAGGGTGAGATGCGGCAGCTGGCGCAGGCCGTCCTGGTGCCAGGTGTAGACGCCCATCACAGGCACGCCCAGGTCTTGTGTCCACAGCACTGCCCCACTTTCTGGGTCCACAGTGAGCAGCAGGCCCATCCCACAGGACGCCAGGTGGCTCATGTCTGCCGAGAAAGGTGGCTGGGGAGATGTGATTGGAAGCTCTCCTAAGAGGGTCCAAGGGTGCCCTCTGGGTGAGGGGGTCACTCTGGTGTGTGGAGATCACATGGAGGGTTATCAGGACATGAGAAGGTTTGTTGGAGTTTATGGGGTCACTTTGAAAATGAGACAAACAGTTAGGGTCATTCAAAGGTGACTCAGATGTGTGGGAGTCAGTTTGAGTCACTTAGGATGGTGGGGTATTGCCCATGGTCAACAGATGGTCACCTAGGATGGATCAATCAGGGTGGCCTGGAGGCATGTGTATCACTTGGGAGTCACTTAGAGTGTGAGAGGGGTCAGCTGGGGTGCGTAGGGGACCTCACCTCTGCTGAGGTGACCAGGGTCAGGTCTCATGCAGAATGATGGAATCAGGGCTTGGGGGGGCCTTAGGGGCACCTGTAAGGTCACTCAGGCAGTTGGGTATCAGTCATAACATCAAGAGGGTGGGCCAGGTGTGGTGGCCTATGCTTGTAATCCCAGTACCCAGGAGTTTGAGATCAGCCTGGGCAACATAGCAAGACCCCATCTCTACAAAAAAGATGAGCCAGGCTTAGTGGTGCACACCTGCAGTCCCAGCTATTCAGGAGGCTGAGGATAGAGGATCACTTGAGCCCAGGAGTTGGAGGCTGTGGTAAGCTATGATCACACTACTGCACTCCAGCCTGGGTGACGACAGAGTGAGACCCCATCTCACAAAAAATGGTGGGGAGTGGTCAGGGTCACCTAGGGAGTCAGTATATGCAAGAGGCTACTTAGGGTCAGCTTTCAGGGGTTATATATAGGGGTCAGTTAGGACACCCAGAGATTGCTCAGGGGCTGTTTGGAGTCACTCTGCATGTGGGAAGTCATCCAGGGTTACCTGATTGGGGCCACTTGGAGTATAGAAGAGTTAGGAAGTTGAGGGACTGGCCAGGGTTCAGGAGGGTCAGTCTGGGTGTTGAGGGAGTCACTTGGGGTCAGCCATCAGGGGTGTGCCATTTAGTATATGGGGTCCCTGGGGAGGCCAAGTGGGTCAAAATGTGGCTGGGAATTGGTCGTGGATGCTGTTCAGGGTTCCCTGGGCTGGGGACCTTGCTCCAAGATGGGACCAGAGAAAGATGGAACTTACATTTCCCGGGTGAGCCATCCATGGGGGGCGCTGAGTAGCGGCGGTAGGTGGTGTTCCAGCGCAGGGCTGGGGCTCTTGGGTCATGCATGGTGACCGTATACTCTGGGGATCCCAGAAACAAGATTACCAGGAACGTCCATGTGATGCTCCCTCCAACCCCAGGGGCCATTTATCTTGTAGGAGTGGGGGTTTCCTGAGCACACAGCCTAGAGACCTGGAAGCCTGTGAACATCACAGTGGCAGAGACTGGAGCTGTTTTGTTTACAGCTCTATCCCTGGCTCCTAGTTCAGTGCTCTGTAGAATGTTTGTTGATGACTAACAGACTATCCTGAATTCAACTTGGTTAGCCACAGCCAGATCTCAGCAGAGCAAAAGGGGAGGCTGCCCAGAGCTTGAGGAATAGCTGGGGCCTGACTCACGTGTTCGGCCGATGTAGAGGCGGGGGGTGGAGGAACCCGCTGTGGTCAGTGTCATCTGGGTCTCCCCTGACTCAGGGTCCACCACAAACCAGGCATCCTGCTTCCGGCCTGTAGAGGTGGAAAGTGTGTTAGCTCTCAAGCTGGCATGGGAAGAGGTGTGGTCCCGCCACTCCTGTGCCTAATGAGCCCGTCATGACTTAGATCCCTGCCTCTGTTGGCTGAACCTGGACCCCACAGGCTGGAGAGATGCTCACCTGTGTAGAAGACCCCATCAGAGCTGCGGCAGGGAGAGGCATGAACCAGCTCAGGGATGGTGAATGGCAGTTTCTAGGAGGGAAAATTTCCAGGAAGGAGTAAGAGCAGAAACACACAATGTTCACTGTGCAGGTGAGCCCATTTCCATAGCAACCGATTAGCAGGTATTACTATCATTTCCACTTTTTAGGTAAGGAACCTGGGGTTTAGAGAGGTCATGTAACTTGGCTAATGTCACACAGCTACTAAATGACAGAGCCTGGGCTTGAACCCAGGCAGTCAGGCTCCAGAGCCAGCACACTGAATCATTGTGCTACACAGCCTCTTGAGGAAATGCAGAAATTCCCATACCCAGTGTCAAGGTACCACGTGAACCACTTGCTCCTGGCCTGACCTGACCTCCTCCTCAAAAACTTGCACTGGGGCGGGCATGGTGGCTCATGCTTGTACTCCCAGCACATTGGGAGGCTGAGGCAGGAGGGTTGCTTGAGACCAGGAATTCAAGACCAGAGGGCAACACGGTGAGACCTCGTCTCTACAGAAAAAAAATAAAAATAAAAAATAAAAAAAATTTGCTGAGCATGGTGACTTGTGCCTGTAATCCCAGCTATTTGTGCGGCTGAGGTGGGAGGATTGCTTAAGCCCAGGAGTTCAAGGCTGCAGTGAGCTATGATTGTGCCACTGCACTCCAGCCTAGGAGATAGGGTGAGACTCTGTCTCTAAACAAAATAAAATGAAACAAACAAACACACAAAAAAACCTCACACACATCTAGTGGGGAGTTTAATTACAAAAAAACCAAAACAACTGACACGGATACTTCAAAACTGTCAACAGCCATGAGAGACTCAGAGAAGTGAAGGAGTTGTTCTAGAATAAAGGAGACCATGGCCTGATGCTGGCTAGGAGTGAAGCTCCATCCTTCACCCTTCTCTACTCTGCTTTCTCCCCAAAGCTGGACTTGTCTGGGTTATGTCTATGGGCACCATGTGCTCTGGCTTCCTGCTGGGTTTGGATAATAGGGACAGGGTGAGATCAGAGTATGCCCTGGTGTCCTTGCCACAGAGTCCTCATGGGCTGGCTGTGTCCTTCCACTGAAGCCCTGAGGTCCCATCGGGTGGTGCTCTTGGGACAGCTCTCTCCAGCTCCAGGCTGTGGTAGCTGCTCCCTCCCCAGCCTCCAGAATTAGGGCTGATAATGTCACCCCACTGTCACAAACCGAAGGATACTGCGTGATATGCTTTGGATTTGCGTCCCCACAAAAATTGTTGAACTGCAATCCCTCCAATGTTAGAGGTGGGGCCTGGTGGGAGGTGATTGGATCATGGGGACAGATTTCTTAATTTGGTGCTGTTCTTTTTTTTTTTTTTTTGGAGACAGGGTATCACTCTGTCATCCAGGCTGGAGTGCAGTGGTGTGATCTTGGCTCACTGCAACCTCTGCCTCCCGGGTTCAAGCGATTCTTCTGCCTCAGCCTCCCAAGCAGTTGGGACTGCAGGCATGTGCCACCACACCTGGCTAATTTTTGTATTTTTTGGTAGAGACAGGGTTTCACCATGTTGGCCAGGCTGGTTTCAAACTCCTAGCCTCAGGTGATCTCCCTACCTTGGCCTCCCAAAGTGCTGGGATTACAGGCTTAAGCCACTGTGCCCAGCCGGTGCTGTTCTTGTAATAGAGTTCTCACCAGATCTGGTTGTTTAAAAGTGGGTGGCACCTCCTCCCTTTCTCTCTCTTGCTCCTGCTCTGGGCATGTAAGATGTGCCTGCTTCCCCTTCTTGCCTTCTGCCATGATTGTAAATTTCCTGAGGTCTCTCCAGAAGCAGAAGCTACTACACTTCCTGTACAGCCTGTAGAACCACGAGTCAATGAAACCTCCTTTCTTATAAATTACCCAGTCTCAGGTAATTTTTTTTAGTATAGCAATGAAAGAATGAACTAATATACTGCACTATCCCTTGTGGTTTCCTATACTCTGCTCACACGTTTAACAAAATGTCCTCAAACTATTCTATTTGAATATGCCATGTGTTTGCAGCTGAGACCTTGCCTGATTCACACACTAAAATTTCTTATCACTTCACCTTCCTAAATCATATACTTAAGACTTTTCTGGCAGGTTTCCCCTGACATGGTTAGAATTCTGACAAAGAACTGGGTGTGGTGGTGTGCACCTGTAGTCCCAGCTACTCAGGATACTGAGGTGCAAGGATCACTTGAGGCCAGGAGTTCGAGGCTGCAGTGAGCCTTGTGATCATACCACTGCACTCCAACCTGAACACATAATGAGACCCTGTCTTTAAAAAATGTGTTTAAATTAAAAAAAAAAGGAATTCTGACAAAGCACATTCCACCCCATTCAGAGCCCTGATGTGGAAGATTGCAAAAAATGGCCACAGATTGCTTTTCATCTTGTATTCATGTCTGTGTCTGTGTCCCTTCACAAGGTGAGTTTTCAGTTCCTTCCATAAAGAGATGGGGTCTGTTTTTTCACCACTGGATTCTCAGTTTGGCTATGTGACCTGCTTTGGCTGATGAGCCATTAGTAAATGTGACACAAACAGAAGCTTGAACAGTGCTTATGTATTGCTGCTTTAGGGTCCCTTGTTGATACCATGTCAACAAGCCTAGGCTTGCCTGCTAGGGATAAGAGACACATGGCCCAGCCACCCCTGCCAAAAGCCAACCAACTACCAACCAACTTTCAGAAACAGAGCCATCCAGCTGACTAGCAGCTGACCACACATGCATGAACAAGTTCAGTCAAGACCAGCAGAAGAACCACTGTGCTGAGCCCAGTCTAAATTGTCATCTCACCAAATTCTGAGTTGAATAAATTTAAGTGATGTTTGAGTTTTAAGCTCTTGAGTTTTGGGTTGGTTTTTATTTAGCAAAGGCTAACTGGTATATACATTTCTCCTTAAAGTCCTCAGAGTCCTGGAGAAGCCCCTGGGATACCCCCAGCTTGACAGTCAGATTGCCCTGCAGACACAGCCAGACCTCCCCTTACCACCCTTTCAATGGGTCCCTCAGACAGCCTTCTCACAATGTGCTGAGTCCTGACTTACATCCTCTGCAGGACAGGAAATACTGACCATACTGCCTCTCCACCTCTCAGTGCTCCACCTGACGAAAGCCCTGGCCCTCACCCATTCCCAAACACCATGGGATACAAACCATTAATCCCTGTTGTTTTTGGGTCCCCAAGATGTACAGGCTGCCATCAGCTGGGTCAGAGAGAAAGGCCATTCTGTGGAGCAGAGAGGAACAAGGAAACCGGTGGGTGCTTGCCCCCCAGTTTCATGAAGGCCCCCAATTCCCTCCAACTTCCCTGCTACTAGGAGCTGTTCTTATAGGAAACACCTTGGTGCTCCAAGACCCTCCCCTATATCACATCCAGAGCCAATTCTCTTCCCTTACTTCTAACACATCCCCATCCCACACACAAACTCTCTACAACTATGAGTCCCCCATCTCCCAGATGCCTCCTCCTTAAAAGGCCCCAGGTTCACTTACTCTGTGACGTACATTGGTCCTTGGATGACGGGATCTGCAGGGACAGGGACACAGAGCATAAGCAGCTCCCTCCAGACTCCACTGAAAAGCACAGCTCGTATTCACTGAGCTATAGCATGACTGTAATGTCAAGCACTTGGCATGAATGTAATGCCATCTTTCCAAAAACTCTGTCAGATAGGGTCATATCCTTTGCCCCACTTTACAGATGAGGATGTTGAGGACCAGAGAGGTAAAGTGAGTTTCTCAAGGCCACACAGCTGGTAAGCAGTGAAGCTGCCTGTAGATACCAGCTTATTGGATTCTAGAGCCCATGTTCTTATTCTCTATGCCACAGTGACTCCCCCTTCACCAATCTATGTGTTCAAGGAGGGAGGAGGGACCGTCTCTTGCTCACCATCCCTCAGAGTCCACTTCAGGTCCCCTGTCTGTTTGCTCAGTGCATGAAGACTTCCATCCAAGGTGGACACCAGCAGGAGGCTCTCTGGCCTGAGAGTATGAACCTGCGAGGGGGTAGAGACAAAGTCAGCTCTCTGAGGGGTCTGGGACCACCCTTTGCTCCTGTCCTAAGCAGGGCTGGCTATGACTCCCCCTTCCCCTAGATGGGGACAGAGCAGGGGAGGAAGGGTGATTGGGGAACATGCTGGTGTCACCCATCATCTCTTTGATCCTAGAGAGGGGTTATAGTGGGAGCTAGAGAGGGGTTATAGTGGGAGCTAGGGGGTTCTGAGGGAAGGTTTTGGCTCCCAGTGTATCTAAATTCCCAATTCCTTACCCCCTCCCTCAATTCATTCTGGTTTTCCAAAGAAGACTAAAGGCCTTTACAAAATGACTTCATTGTTTTGTTTTCTTTTGTTATTGTTCTTGTTGTTTTAATTTAAGATAGGGTCTTGCTCTATTGTTCAGGCTGGAATGAAGTGGCACAGTCATAGTTCACTGTAGCCTCAAACCCCTGGGCTCAGCTGATCCTCACACCTCAGCCTCCCAAGTAGTTGGGACTACAGGTGTGTGTCATCACACCTGGCTAATTTTTGTATTTTTTGTAGAGATGGGGTCTTGCTATGTTGTCTAGGCTGGTCTGGAACTCCTGGCCTCAAGTGATCCTCCTGCCTCAGCCTCCCAAGATGTTGGGATTACAAGCATGAGCCACTGCACCCATTCTAAGATGGGTATTATTCGTTTTCCCATTCTACAGGGGAGGGAGACTGAGGCTTAGAAAAGTTAGGTCATTGGTTAGGTCATTGGCATAAAGCCACAGAGATAATAAGTGGCAAAACTAAGGACTTGAGTTGCCATCCCTCTGATTCCTGTGCCTGGCCTCTTTTTCCTCTGCCACAATGTCTGCCTCTTTTGGGATGGCCCTTTCTGCCTCCCCAAACCAACCCAGTTGGTTTTGGTGCCAGGCTCCAGTGGGTCCCCTGACCCAAGGCTGGAGGGTGCCCGTGGGAGGGGGGCTGGAGCCACCCGTACTTACATCTGGTGCTCCTGGGCTCACTCACCTGCTCCAGCCCCTCCTTGAACAAACAGGGTGAGGCTGAGCTCCCAGCAGGAGGCCTAACATCCGGGTGGCCCAGCCACACCCCTACAAAGGCCACATCCTGCTTTGGGACCCTCGGGTTTGGGGCTGAGCCACTGGTGTTGAGTGGAGGGTCAAGAAATTATCTGCTAGCCCCTCTTTCTTTCTGGGCTTCAATTTTGTCATCTGCAGCACATGGCAGGAGGGAGAACAGTCTGGAGAAGAGGCTGCAGATTGGTTGCCCACAAATGAATTTTGTTTGACCATCTAGTGCTTAAAAATTTGTTTTCAATTAGCTGCCAATTTTTTAAAAAATTGGGTGATTTCTACAAAAAAAACAAGATTTCAAATTTTTCTCATTTCTAATTTTTCTGAGACACCTGATCTGGCCACACTGGGCTTGCTTCTTAGCTGGCAACCATGAGATGGACCCATGAAGTGGAAGCGGGGAATGAGAGGTGCCCAACTCTACCTGATCGCTTTTGCCCCATAGGGGCTCCAGGCGGGACACCTGGATTCTTCGGCCAAGCGACTTTCGCCTCCTGGCTGCATTTCTTTAAGACTCTCCTACTCCTGGCACCGTGGGAGCAGATACTCACACTCCCAACTCATTTATCCCAGGTTTATTATCATGAACCTGGGGTGCAGCCATGGGTAGGAGGACCCCATTGTAAAGCCTCTGAAATTGCAAAACTGGGAGTGCAGGCGCATTTCTCAGCAGAGGGCCCTGAAGTCAATCATGTTTTCAAAGGAAGCCAGGATCCCCAGAAGTTTTAAGAGGCCTGGTTTTCGTGCCCGGGTGCCCCCTCCCCGAGACTACACCGCTCCATGCAGAAGAGGCGGGGTGCTCGGCCTACTCTTGCCTTTCCACGCTGGCAGATCTCCCCAGCTAGGTATTTGTTGGGGGCAACTGGCGGCTCCCCAAACCAAGGAGGCTTTTACTCGGTCGGGGCCCGAGTTGGGACCACCCAGGCGTGAGGCGCCCCCGTGGCCACGCCGCGCCCTCGCCCTGAACGCGACCCCGCCCCCTGCGCCCCGCGACCCGACTTTGGGGACTTGGCATTGGTCCCTGGCTCTCACCTGTGAACTCAGCGTCCCGAGCAGCAGCGCCGCGAACTGGAGCTGGAGCCCCAGCCGGGGCCACGGCCTCGATCCCCTGGCCGCGCTCGCCATAGCGCCTGGGCAGCCGCACGGCTGGCCAGGTCCCTCGGTGCCTCCCAGGGAGCGCTCGGTCCCCTCCCGACCCGGAGGAGACTCCGCCCCTGGCTGGGCCTGCAACCCCAGCCCGGAGTCCTCGTGGGTCTCCGCCCTTCTCATCACACTCCCAGCCGCATCCTCGCGTCCCAGGCACCCCACCAAACACGGTGGGGAGCTTCACCGGGAGAGGGATTTTACTGAGCCCACCTGTGGAGAACTTACCACGTGCCGAGGACCGTGCTGGTTCATCACCAGCTCCTGGAATCCTCACTGCACCGCAGATACAACCGGAGGCTCAGAGCCACAGTCCCAATACAGATACGCCTGATCTCAAAGCCTGCGCTCTTCATCACTGCACCAGCGGATCCCGCTGGGCTATCAGGAAACAGAGATTAACTGGTGAATTCAGTCATTCGTTCAATAAATATTTATTATGGGTCAAGTAAGTGGCTCACCTCTGTAAATCCCAGCACTTTGGGGGGCCTAGGAGGGAGGGTCACTTGAGGCCAGGAGTTTGAGACCAGCAACATAGTGAGACCCCATCTCTACAAAAACAATTGGCCAGGTGTGGTGATGTCCACCTGTAGTTCCAGCTACTCCGGAGGCTGAGGTGGGAGGATCGCTTAAGCCAGGAAGGCAAGGCTGCAGTGAGCTATAACTGTGCCATTGCACTCCAGCCTGGGGGACGGAGAGACCCAGTCTCCAAAAATAAAATAAATAAATATGTATGTATGTATGTATGTATGTACGTATGTATTTTTTGAGACAGAGTTTCGATCTTGTCACCCAGGCTGGAGTGCAATGGCACGATCTCGGCTCACTGCAACCTCTGCCTCCTGGGTCCTAGCAATTCTCCTCCCGAGTAGCTGGGATTAAAAATGCAGGCCACCATGCCCGGCTAATTTTTGTATTTTTAGTAGAGATGGGGTTTTACCACTTTTGGCCAGGCTGGTCTTGAACTCCTGACCTCAACTGATCCGCTCACCTTGGCCTCCCAAAGCGCTGGGATTACAGGTGTAAGCCACTGTGCCCAGCCAATAAATATGTATTTATTATAAGCTATGACATGACTGCCTGGTGAACAAGAGCGATGAGGCCCCTGTCTTCATGGAGCTTAGAGATGCCTATGCCTTAGACGTAAGACAACGCGGCACGGAAGGGCACCTTCGAATGGCCGTGTTCCCAGCAGACATTTCCAATTTTGTTCAGAGACGGCCTGCCGGGGTCCTTGAAGGTAAGGTCCACCCTGTTTGCAAGTTTCGACTCATTCATGTCTCCTTCATCCTCACGTTAAAAAAAAAAAAAAAAAAAAAAAAAAATCCCTGCTGATTTGAGGGTCATGCAGCCCAGCTCTGCCACCTTCTCCCCCTCCTCTTTGTCATCCTTGGCCCTCCTGATCATCCCCACAGTTACTGAAAACTTGGTAGCTTGGCCCCTAGCCTTCATCTCCACCCCAAATCCTGTCACTCTCCTTGGTGTCTTCAATGTCCAAGGTACAGCCTAGCCAGCACTGCAGCCTCTCAGTGGCTGTACCTTTTTGGAGACCTTATCTCTCACGCCACAGTTGCACGTTATGTCCTGGGCCCTTGTCACACTCAGAACCACTTAGTCCCTTTCTCTGATTGCAGCCTCCTCTCCATGCAACAGTTTCACCGTTTCATTCTCCTTATCCTTGTGCCCTGACCTACATGGTAAGTTCATCCCTCAGTCTCTTTCCCACTCTGTCAGCCCCTTCTTCGTCCTTATCCAGCTTGGACCTCCTAGCTGACCATCTGAAGGAACTACACCACTGTTTTAGGCTGGGTTTCCTATGAACAGGTTGGGATTTTTATGAAAGTTATTTCACACTAAGCCATGCCAGGTTCAGGAGTTTAAGACCCACCTGGGCAACATAGCAAGACCTCAGTCTCTACAAAAAATAAGAAATAAGCCAGGCACGCTGGTGTGCACTAGTAGCCCCAGCTACTTGGGAGGATGAGGTAGGAGGATCCCTTGAGCCCAAGAGTTCCAGGCTGCAGGTGGCACCACTGCTCTCCAGCCTGGGCAACAGAGTGAGACCCTGTCTCTAAAAAACAAAACAGGCTGGGCGTGGTGGCTCATACCTGTAATCTCAGCACTTTGGGAGGTCGAGGTGGGAGGATCACCTGAGGTCAGGAGTTTGAGACCAGCCTGGCCAACATGGTGAAACCCCGTCTCTACTAAAAATACCAAAATTAGCCAGGCATGATGGTGCATGCCTATAATTCCAGCTACTTGGGAGACTGAGGCAGGAGAATTTCTTGAACCCAGGAGGTGGAGGTTTCAGTGAGCCACAATCGCGCCATTGCACTCCAGCCTGGGCAACAGAGTGAGATTTTGTCTCAAAATAAATAATTAAATAAAAAACAAAACAAAACAAAAACAAAGAAATATGTACATCATGACGTCTTTGGTTTACTTGGTTGCTCTTTCATGCTTAGCTGTTCCAATATCCCTAAATTGGCCCAGTAGTCCTAACTTTATAAAAAAAGTGATTGCTTGCCACTGTAGAACCTAACCCAAGCTACTGAGTGTGTGAACGAACCCTCCTTTCTGCTCTATATTTTGTACACTCTGCATTATTTTGAAATGTACATTGTGTTTACTATGCTTGGATTCAGGCATTTCTCATGCAAAAAATTTGACTTGCATAAAATACAAACTGCAAATGAACTGGAATAAATGTGTGTGTGTGTGTGTTTATGTGATGATAAAAGTAATATACATTCTAGAAACTTTGTAAAATTCAGAAAAATTTAAATAACAAAATATTTGGACAGGTGTGGTGGCTCACACCTGTAGTCCCGGCTACTCAGGAGGCTTAGGTGGGAGGATTACTTGAGCCCAGAAGCTGGAGGCTGCAGTTAGCTGTGACTGCACCACTGCACTCCAGCATGGGCTAAAGAGCAAGACATTATCTCAAAAATATTAATAATAATCAGCCGGATGCAGTGGCTCATCCGGTAATCCCAGCACTTTAGGAGGCTGAGGTGGGCAAATCACTTGAGGTCAGGAATTTGAGACCAGCCTGGCCAACATGGTGAAACCCTGTCTCCACTAAAAATACAAAAATTAGCCAGGCGTGGTGGCACATGCCTGTAATCCCAGCTACTCGGGAGGCTGAGGCAGGAGAATTTCTTGAACCCTGGAGGCAGAGGTTGCAGTGAGCCGAGATTGCGCCATTGCACTCCAGCCTGGGCAACAGAGCAACACTCCATTAAAAAAAAAAAAAAATTAATAATAATAAATACAAATTTTTTAAAAAGTTCATTCACGGGTCCACCGTTTGAAAACAGCACCCCTTTAACATTCTGTCATACTTCCGCCAATGGTTTCTTCTCCCTATGCCTATATGTATGATGGGATCCTATGTTGACATACTTACATGTTTTTTCCACTCCAGAGTTTCATTTACCCGGACAGTCCTTCTTCCATTCAAGCAAGTCAGCCCTAAATTTTGTTACCTCAGCAAATGGATGAGAAGCAGAAAGATAAATGAAAATTCTAGCTTTTGAGTTTTCAGAAAACTCAGGTTAGGAGCCTAGATTTGAGACAATAACCAGCCTGGCCAACATGGTGAAATCTCGTCTCTACTAAAAATACAAAAATTAGCCGGGTGTGGTAGTGCGTGCCTATAATCCCAGCTACTTGGGAGGCTGAGGCAGGAGAATCACTTGAACTCTGGAGGCGGAGGTTGCAGTGAGCTGCACTCCAGCCTGGGCGACAGAGTGAGACTCTGTCTCAAAAAAAAAAAAAAAAAAAAAAAAAAATTCAGACACTAAATGAGGCTGGAAAAGATTTTCCAGACTTGGAGAGGAAGGAGAATAGGAAGGAACAGAGAGAAGCTGCTCCAGGTCCCCGAGGAAGGGAGACCCAGGCCTGCAGTCCCTCATCCAAGGATGGGACCCCATGTAGGTTTGTGGGGTCCAAGAGCAGAGGGGCTCTGCATTTTGCTTCCTGGGGAGAGCCTGGGAAAGCAGAAAGACTCCAGAAGAGAAGCTGCATTCTGTGTTGGGGCAGAGGGGCCCATTAGAGGGGTCCCCACTGTCCACTGTGGCATGGAGGTGGGTGGGTGGATGTTTACCACGTGCCTCAGTGCCTGAGAGTGGCTTGGAGGAGGGAGCGAGCGAGAGATGATTGGTAGAGATAAAGAGAAATTTACGCATGCTCACATAGAGATGGAGAACATATGTGTTGAAATTAGAAAGAGAGAGAGAGAACATGTGTGCTCAGAATAGAGATGGAGATAGAGACAGAGAACACGCATGCTGAAAATAGACACACACACAGAGAACACGTGTGCCCAAAAATATATATGTAGAGAGAGATGGAAAGAACATGTGCGCCCAAAATAGAGATAAAGAGAGATAGAGGCTGGGCAGGGTGGCTCATGCTTATAAACCCAGCACTTTGGGAGGCTGAGGCAGGTGGATCACTTGAGGTCAGGAGTTCCAGACCAGCCTGGCCAACGTGGTGAAACCCCATCTCTACTAAAAATACAAAAAAAATTAGCCAGGTGTGGTGGCGGGTGCCTGTAATCCCTGTAGTCCCAGTTACTTGGGAGGCTGAGGCAGGAGAATCGCTTGAACCTGGGAGGTGAAGGTTGCAGTAAGATGATATCGAGCCACTGCACTCCAGCCTGGGTGACAGAGTGACACTCCATCTCAAAAAAAAAGAAAAAAAAAAAAAAAAGAAAAAAAAGTAGAATATGCACACTCAAAATAGAGACAGAGAAAGAGAACACGTGTGCTCAAAAAATATATGTGTATATATAGAGAGAGAGGTAAAGAGAAAGAACATGTGTGCTCGAAATAGAGATAGAGACAGAGAGCATGCATGTTCAAAAGAAAGAGATAGAGAAAGAGAGAGAGAGGGAACAAAGAGTGAGACAGAGGTAAAGAGAGAGAATATGCGTGCTCAGAAAAGAGGAGAGAGAACATGCGTGCTCAAAACAGAAAGGCAGAGAGAGGCCGCGTGAGGTGGCTCACGCCTGTAATCCCAGCACTTTGGGAGGCCAAGGAGGGTGGATCACCTGAGGTCAGGAGTTTGAGACCAGCCTGGCCAATATGGTGAAACCCCATTTCTACAAAAATACAAAAATTAGCCAGCATGATGGCGGGTGCCTGTAATCCCAGCTACTCGGGAGGCTGAGGCGGGAGAATCGATTGAACCTGGGAGGCGGAGGTTGC